TACTTTCCTAAGGTGGTGTAGCTATTTCCTATAGATATATCCTAATTCAGTAGCGCTGTCGAGTTCATTCATATGAATTGATCACTATAGAGCAATAAATACGTTCATATTAACAATAGGCGGTTTGCGATCTGCGAGGAAACCGTCTTCTCAGCTTTGCCTGGAAACATGCGAATTTCTTTCCACCGTTCCATCCTACAGAACCTCTAGATTCAGAATATTATAAATTTCACTGAGTAATTTGGCTTAGTTGAGGAGATATAGGCATTTTATTGATACTATCTGGGGTGGCACCTTCAAGGCTACTGTAAGCTCAAGTTTGCCCAGTACATATTAATTTTTTGCATCAGTCGATCCAGCTGGATCTTCATTCAGAAAAACATATATTTTGTTGAGTGGTTTTACTTTCCTAAGGTGGTGTAGCCATTTTCTGGTGATATATCTCAATTCAATAGCGCAGTCGCGTTCATTCATATGAACTGATCACTACAGAGCTATCAATACTATCAATACGTTAATATTAGCAATAGGCAGATTGCGATCTACGATTATGCTTCCAAACCGAGTGGTTTGGAAGTTCGTTTTGTTCGGTGGAAGCCGCCATTCTGAAATTTATGACCTGACAGGTTTTTACCGAATATTTGTGAATTATTTCTCGAGTAGAGTAATCATCTTGGCCAACTCAAACTGCTGAATTGCAGTCAGCACAGTGCTTGGCCGATCGTTCCAGGACCGCACGTTTCGAATCTTTTGTCATTGGGAAGTTGTATTCCAGTGAATTTTCATTTTTGGGAAGACTTTTACTCGGTTAGAAAAAAAGTAAAGAAGCATCGAAATGAGTAGAGCATCTCTGGAAGAGAAAGGTGCGTTGCTTCTTAAACCTTGATCGTCATGTTGAATTTCATGCACTGAGAATTAAAATCACCATTGGAAGTTCTACTCTTCTCAGGGTTCTGGTTTGGGTACTTTTGCACTGAAAAGGACCCCACCCCACGCGCCTATTGAAAGAGAAAAGGGATGGCCTCAGCATAAGCCTAAGCGTTGCTGTTAAGGGGTTACCATGGGCTGGGGTCCACTACGTTGCAAAAGTGCCCTAGTTTGCACTCAGATATCTCGATGCAGTGTCCAGCTTCACTTTCTTAATCTTCATCACAGTGAAACTGAAATATCACAATGAATATTTTCAACTTCTCTGCTCTATCAAATTCTCACAAGAACTCCTCTTCAAGCAATGAAAGTCATTCCGGAATATATGATCGCACAAAATCGACCTTATGGCGCCAGTGACGTCTATACGAATCTTCATCAAGAGTTCGGAAAAACCGTAAATTCTCTCGCAGATTTTATTTTACTCAAAACGATTTCATTTTTGTCTGTCAAACGTTTACTTGAAAATAAAGAAATATATGAATATCGAAAAATGGATCAAAATCGAGTGCACATTTCGAGTTATTGTGTTCACCCTGAAAAGTTGCTCACGGAATGATCCACAAAACATTTTCAGTTGGTCATAAAATGTCTGGAGAATGCTGTCCAAAGTGGGTTGCTTCGTGACAAAACAATTTCGAAACAAAAAATTTATTATGCAAATCAGGTCAGCTGTCATTCTTCCGACGAGAGTTGGGTCGGTGGCTACCGAACCACGAGGGCTCCGAAAATTCGATCGGTAATTACCGACCGCAATCAAAAGGACTGGTTCTGTCAAGGGCCTCGGCAAACCGATCTTCTGTTGCCACCGATTGACGATCGACCGATGCCCAAAAATTTCTCTTCAGTGGCCCCTGACGGGCATTCGGTTGGGGACCACCGAAAAAATTCTTTTGGATCCCAACACCACTTCCTACTGCTATTTTCAATTCATACGACTGCACTAAATTAAACGTCTTTCAAAATGAACCAAAGCAATTTATCCCATTTTCAGGATAGACTAACGACATGCGATGATGCTGAATTGACCGAGATGGACAGAGAGATTAATCAGAAATCGGAAGATCTCAGTAATATCAATGCTAAATTCAAATCTCTCACTTGCGGTCATCTCTTGAAAAATTTTGATTTTGAATCAAAAATTTTCATTCCATCAAAGAAGATCAATCAATCGATCACTTACCTTAACTTTCACAAGCAGTTTTGCTACATTTCGTTTCAAACGCTTCTAATATTCCTTTCCAGTTTATATCTATTCCAAAAAAAGCAATTTAATGAAGAAAACTTCATTTCTATAGAAGTCAAATCACTCGAAGCACAACTTACAACACCACAACTTGCGGAGGCAATTGAACGCCTTGAAGCTGAGGTTTTTAGATTAATCAGTATTTGTTTACTCACTCTTTTTCATCTTTTCTCAGAAAAGATGTGAAATTTTCAGCTGTCTGGAATGGAAAAGCGTAAAAGTGAACTGGAAGGAAATCAAGATTCCATGAGTGCAGACGAAAAGAAGAAGGCTGAGCAAAGTGTTGATTATTATGAGAAATTGATGCGACAACGTAAACGATGCGCAGAAGATATGATCGCTGCGATCAGTGATAACTATCCGAAGAAGATGAACATCCTGCTGGTTGCTTGCATTTTCTTTGATTTCATATTACTTATGGAATTAGGTGAAATGCTTTTGGTAGATGAGTGAAGAGATAGGCTGTTTGTAACTTCATTTATAACATCAGATCAAATAAAAGCATTTTAGGATGAAATTGGAGTCGACCTTGACTGAATGTGTTCTGTGAAATGCACCGATTCATTCTGCTCTCGTAACATCTCAGCTGCCTGCAAACAATCTTGTTGATATATTTCTTGTTTCTTTGTTATTATTAGCATTATGATTCAGCTTTTTAATTGATTCTCAATGAATAATGAACAATAAGTGAAACTCGTTTGCTACTTCACTCATAACCACCACTCTACATTCTACACCACAAAAATATAAAACAAGATGAAATGTTGACTACCTTTTCGGGCAGAATATCGCGTTGCGGTTCAGCGACCAATTCATATCCAGCGATAAATTTCTTGACCGAGGCTGACCGCAGCAGAGGCGGTAAATAGACAGCGTGCAGAGTCCAAAAGTCTCGATTTTCCGACAGAAATCGACCTGTTGGCGCCGATTTCCATCCCATACTAAACGGAAACGCACACTAAAATGCAATTCTAGATTGCAAAGCTGTGCTGGCGATAATGAATAAGAACTGACCTTAAACAAGTTATCATATTTGATTACCAATTTCTTCATTATATCAGCCAGACAACGTTTTTGTTCCTGTAACAAACAGTTCATGACAAACGAGTGTAAAAGCTAGAATAATGCAAACCTTAGATATTTTATTCAGTGAAGTGCTGTGTTTTATTGGCAGTAAGAGTGTTTCGAAAGGCCATGTTGCCCAGAAAGGTACCACTACTATCCATTCATCATTTTCAACTACCAAACGTTCTCGTTTCCGTAACTCTTCTTCAACGACTTCCATCAGCATTATCTTACCGGTCTGTTGGTGATATGTCTGCAAATATGGATTTTCATGCCAAATTCATCATCAAAATCAATGAAAAACCTTCTGGGTGGAGTATTCTTTTGCCGGATAAGTCGGCAGATAATCACTAGCCCATAGCTGGCCATGCGGATGTGCATTCGAGCACCCTACCAGAGCTCCTCGATTCTCAAAAATCTGCAATTATCAACAGAAATTCTCGGGAATCTAGAAGAGGACCACTGAACTGCTAAGATGTTGCCGCAAATCAAACCTGAATCCATTCATATTTCTTCTCGAGTTCATTCATTTGTTCTATCCACATATCAATTACAGCCTCAAGTTGTTCGTGCGACATTTGTGCCATCGATAGGTCACTGTTTGGATGATAGCACATCACTCTGCATCATTATTAAACTTGATAATAACATTCAATAAGTTCAATTCAATCTCACCTGCACGTTCCTTTAATCGAATGTGATCGATATAACTGATTTGCGATCCCTTCAGAATATTCCTCATCTGCATTATCCCTAAGTGCTGGAAAATCGTTTTGGAATACAAAAGTAGATGTGTAGTGCGGGGTTATCTGGCCGTTGGCTCGATGACCACCTGGTGCCAACGGGTTCACTGTTGTAGATGGCATGAAACCCGAGCCCGATCCACTTTCGGTTGCTCCTTGCCAGGGTCTTTGTAAACGATTCGCAGCCACAATGACCCATTCATCTCGCAGTGGATTATAACGCCGGTGACTCATTTTATCCTATTAACATTCTAATATCTCCTTACTAATCACGTTACTGCATTAACATAATCCAATCCAAATGTTTTGCATTTCCACTTCGACCAGTTTGCACAATAAGCTCGAAAAATTCCGACAGGTTTCTCGTTGCTTTATTACGAATAATAATAGATGCAGCAGTGACAAAGATGAATACATTTATTAATGATCACATTTCCATACAATGATAATAAGTTCACTCAAAAGAAGTTCCTCAAGCCCCTTGCAAATATCCTAACCCATCGCGGTACCATATGATCGGGCCGTAAGAACGTACTCGCCTCCACCCAACCACTCCATTCCAATAAACGAACATGTTCCTGAAACCTTCCAATAATACTCTCGTCTTCAACATTGATAACAATAAAACTGACTGAATGAAGTCTGCTTTTCAGATGCTCATTGCTCGTTACTATCAGCAATTGTGCTTCAAGATCGCGATGCACAGATCGATAACCTGAAAACAGCTATCGTCGGTAATAACGATAACAACAGTATCAAACCTGACCATAATTCGACGATCCCACCAAAGTTGCGCAGAAAGGTGATTTTGTGGATTGGACCCATAATCCTTTAGCGTGGTATGTCCATCCATCACGTTCGTATTCAAACAATTCTACTTGTTGTCGTTTAATACCGAAGAATGTTTCTGACACAAGAACGTATAACGACGGTATATATCCGGATAGGCCTGAACCTTTGTAGAAACCATTCGCCTGAACATAACCATCAACATAATAACAAAACAACAAACACGAACCTAATAAAACAAACCTGAGGTGATGCATAAATAACATCCATCGAGTATTTACCTCTCTTAGTTATCAAATGCTCATAATCACCAATCAAGTTGAAATATCCCGACGTCAAAATGATTTTTGATGAGGTGTCCTTAAAATCCGATAGAGTATTATTAACACGATAAAATAACAGATGAAGGATAACCTGACTGGCAAATAACTCCTTCAAAAAATCGTATTCTTGATTCACTCGGAACATCCCCATCTGTATTAATGGATAAATCCTCGTATCTGATTCAATTTTGTTAACATTCTTCTTTCCTTCACATTTCAATACTTCAAAGAGTCGTGCCCTCAGTTGATTTTCATATTCTTTAAGTGCTCCTGAAATGAAATTACAATAAAACCAAACACTAGAAATAAATAAATAATAAACAGCAATACCTTTAAAAGGATGTATAGCACACCTCTCACTCGTATCAATACCTCCATCGGGTTGTAACTTAAATGAGCACGAGCAAACCGCATCAATAATACCAACCCAAAATTGTGCCAGTTCAGGGACGTTCTCTATTAATATGTAACGATCTTGACGATTAGTGAAGTACGATTCGGACAGATTCGCTCTGAATAATACCATGTGCATAATTATACGAGTAATAACGAAACGTACCCACTGATGACGATACTATCATCGAAGATGTACAGTTTCATATGCTGCAAACCAACGACTTCATTTGTTCTTTGTGGTATAATACTCTTCAGAATGCCTCTTAAATAAGGCGTATGGAAGAGATGTATTCGAGCTCGAGGTAGCAATCTGAATGCTCATTAAAACTGTAATAATAACTATCGGTATATCGTAACGGAGTCGAAAACGTGAAATATTCACCAAATTCTTGATATTTTCACTATTGGTATTATTATTACAGGAAAGATGAACCTTCTTAAGATTGCTGCAGAACTTTTCTCACCATCTCGAGTGCCTCTCAGATAGTCCAATAAAATATTCAATTCCATTCCAGGACATCGATCCAAAGCTTTATCTAACTCATCGATCTGAGAAAAGAGCAAACATGCGACTGGAATTCTTCAATTCACATTTCAAAATCACAAAAAAATACCAAGTTCTCTTCCAGTTTTCCATTGCCCAAATACAACGTCGATAATGCGATTCGTTTGCGCGCACTTTTGGTTAAATTCTTCAAGAAAAAATTATTTACAGACGTTTCTTTCTAGGGAAGTCATATCAAGTAACATTTTTATATCAAACAATAAGCAAGTTCGAGTCATGAGCTCGAGCCTTCCAGTGAGCTTTGGGCCTCAAAATCTTTGTTAATTTGAATAAGAAGAATGACTTGCAATTAACGTATTGTAGAATTGTTCAGGGGTTTCAATAACTTTTATGTTGTCTGCATCTACAGGGATCGATGGCAGATTCTCAACGAGACGAAGAATCTCATCCATTCCGCAAGGTTATTTCAAAACGGCAAACATACCGATCGATTCAATTTTCTGGTTTATGATTCCTGAAATATTCATCAGTTTACATTCAGTTGAAGAGTGAAATCGAACATGATGGCAAAGTCCACGATGATCGAGTATTTTGAAGGAGGGATTTGGATCATGCTACTGCCATTCCCTGTTGCCTCGTTCACAAACTTTTCTGTTTGCATGAAATTGTTGTTTGATCGCTGTCACATCACATACGTAAGTCACGCCCATGCCAGTTAATAGTCGAACGGCCATTCGCATCGCGTTACGCAGGCCAATTCGAACGTCGGATTTTCCTTCGAGGGTATTCCCTTGAGTTTCGAGGACAACATCTCATGATTTTTATTTTATTTTATTCAGTCAGCAAATCCGACTCATTACGAGTTTATGTTGTCACCAATACGTTTTAAACTCACCCGCTGAATGATCTTTCAGATGGATAATCCGTCTTTCCCGGCCATCAAAACGCTTCAAGATCTATACAAATTACCAGCAGATTCATTCTACGTAACCGTGAATGGCAAAGAAATCGTTGACTGGCAATTTTTACATCCAGACGTCGCATTTGATGTACATTTTCGTCTTCGCGGTGGTAAAGGAGGTATGTCCTTTAATTGTATTTCAAAAATGATTGGATGAAAATGTTTCGTTATTTGTATTCACTAGACAATTGCAGGATTTGGTTCATTGCTGCGGTCGTTTCGTATTCATCGATCCACAAATCAACTGATGTGTCGTGACTTAACTGGACGACGTTTGGCGGATGTGAAGGAGGAGGAGAAATTGAGAAAGTGGATCGAAAAAGCAGCAGAACGCGAGGAAGCAAAACGCAGAAAACGGTTGGATTTCATTTTATATGAACAGATTTAGATAAGAACGAGACAATAAGAGAATGTTCGATCGTTTCAGACAAGAAAAATACGAAAAGTTGAAAGGTGATCCTCCGAAACACGAATTCAGTGACCAGACTTACATTGAAACAAGAGAGAAGATATTGGATGAGACGAATGACGCGTTTGAAATTGGTGCGTTGAGAGTGAAGCGATAATTCATTTGAAAATCAAATGATAATTGGAATAAAAGAGTAATTGGTACGGTTCCAGGGTTAGCTTCGTTGTCGAAAACTGATGAAAATGGCAAACCGAATGGGAAGACCAATGTGGATTCTGGAGGAGATAAAGGATACCCGTTGAAGAAATTAACCCAGTTGGCTGATCGGGAATCGGATTCGGATTTGGAACTCACGGATGATGAGGATGTACCTGGGCCAAGTGGTTTCGGCATTTCGAAACGTAAAAATATGAATGGCACGGAAGAGGAACTTTGCAAGAAACAGAAACTTATTGAAAAAGAAGAACTTGATAATAATAATAAAAGGTGAGTGAATGAAGGATTCTTCGAATTCATCATTTTAATCGGCATACGCTTAATGTTTTTTGCTGTTGTACCAGCAGTTGTGTACAGAATTGACCACATGTTGTTAATTGCTACGACATAATCGTAAAAGTTTCAGTGGAGTCGTTGAAAAAGAGATTCAAATTGAGAAGAAGAATGATGAAGGTATTGGAAATTCGGTGGTGAATGAGAGTGAGAAGAATAAATTTGAGATAAATGCAGAATTCGACGATATCAATTTGGATGAATTCGAGAGTGTTGAGCAGTTAGAGGCTCTGGGTTTAAAGCACCTCAAATATGCTCTTGAAAGTTGGTTTGTGATTGCTTATTTGCTGTTATTTCAATGATTAAATTTCAGTTCGCGGTTTAAAATGTGGTGGATCTTTGAACGAGCGTGCAGCGAGACTGTTTTCGGTGAAGGGTTTGGAACGAGAACAATACCCGAAATGCGTTTTGGCGAACACGAACAGAAAACATTAATTACTGTTCTGTTCTGTGCAGTTGTATTGAATAAAAGATTGGATGAAAGTTGCGTGCGTGTCGTAATTAAATCTCAGTATAATCTGATCGTTATTTCAATGAGCATGTGATGCTCACTTAAATAGATTATTCGTTATGACCATTTAATTAAGAAGAGAGTATCTAGAGATCTGAACATGTTCCGACCAGAATTAGAGAAATTAGCAAATATTACTGTAGAAACTTTATACTTTGGAGGAAGAAATTGCAATTGTGTGGAAAATTGACAACAATTAAAAATTAATTTGGTATTTTGAGAGAGTCGCTTTTATAATGGTTTCAACATTCGTGAAGAAAACGGGTAAAAGTGTTAAAAAATTAAAAATTGGAAAAACTGTCAAACGAAAGAAAAAGGTGAATGAAAAGGAAACGAAACGAAATGATATTGTGAGTTTTAACTATCATCAATATTGTAGTTGCAATGTTATTATTGTCGAACAAACAGATTTGTATTCGTATTTACTATTAAGGTTGATGAAACCAAAGAAGAAAGTGTTCCGTTAAGTGATCAATTCTCACTGAAACAAGATGTGGAATGTGGTGATGATGACCAACTCAATTTCCTGAAGTCAATCAGAAAACAGGTCACTCTAATGTTTGACACCTTAGACCCGCATCTTCATACGAAACGTTTAAGGCGAAACAAGCTGTGCAGATATTATCGCAAATTGCGAGTCGTTCACAGCAAAAGTCGTTGTTTCCGGAAGTCGATCAGATGTTGCATGTTCAGTGTGTTTATAAAAAACCAGCGAGTGTTAACAACAGCAAAATTTGGCATAAGAAAATGTTGGTTTATTTATTGTTGAATTCAATAACAAAACTCCGTAGAAATTGATATGATGCATTGCCATTTAAGCGTGTTGCCTCATCCAATCTACGACCCGAACAACACGACGATTTGCTTGATAATGCCAGACTTTGATCGATCCAAGGAGGCTTGGTTCGATCCGGATGTGGACAAACAAGCGCGAATGTGGGAGGAGAAACTGGGCGAGGAATTCGGATTGAATAAAAGTTTGGTACAAAAGGTTAGTTTGGTTGGTTTAGGCTTAGGCTGGTTTTATACGGTTGATTTTTAGATATTAACGCACCGTCAGTTGGGTCGAGAATACCACACTTATTTAGAGAAGAGACAGTTGGCTTCGGCGTATGATATTTTCTTGGTTGATGCGAGTATTGGTCCGAGAGTTTGGTACGAATGCGGAAAGGAGTTTCATAAGGCAAAGAAGTAAGGCGTTGCTTGAATTGAAGTTATGAGTTATAATCGGATTAATTGAGGATGCCATTGTGTGTTGATACGAATAAAAGGAATCTGATCGAACAAATCAAGAAGAGCTTCTCAACGATATCCTTTCCACTCAGTGCACATCGTGTCAGAACGTTCGTTTCATTCTATTCAGTTTGTACGACTTTGATCGGTCAAATTCTTAATGTTCACTTGATTTTAGAAGTTTGAAGATTGGAAACTTGAGCGAGTCAAGTGAGGATTTATGTGATAATATAGAAGAGGCAGCTGCACGTTTGGCAGAATACTGCCCGGGAGGGTTACCTAACATACGATCGATTAATTTACAAGTGGTGAGCGGTGGACCGACGATACCGATATATGCTGATACTGGTAATGATTGTTGTTATGAAGGGAATGTTGTGATTGTTATTCGTTATTAAGGTTCCGTGAATGCGGTAAGAATGCCGAAGATGGTGAGTAAGAAGGAACGTTACAAGCTGAACGAGTTCACGGATGAGTTGTCTACACTGCCTGAGGGACTGAAAGTGACAGTGAGGCCAGATGGGAGGACGAGTGTCATTGACGAACAGAGTTGGTGTTTTGTGTTGTAGCTGGGAGGGTTGAGTTGTTAAAATGACATTTCGTTGAGTTTTCAGCTGGTAAGAAGATTTATTATCCAACGGTTCATGACGAATGGGAGGAGAAGGATGATCTCAAGCCGAAAATCGATCCATTAAAGGTGAGTCTATCCCTACGTCCCTAGCGGTTGTATCCCTAATAACTGCGATTGTTTTCAGTTGCAATTGGAACGAACGAAGAAGAGACGACTGAAGGAAAAAAAAGCAAAAAGAGTGGCAAAAAGGCTAAGATTGGCGAAGGAAACGGGTGAAGGGGCTGAAAAAGTGGGAAATGTCGTGAAGACAATGAAGAAAATTATGGAAACGAGACCTGAGAAGAAGGAAAAGAAATCTGGAAAAGAAAATAAGAAGAAGGGGGTACTGAAGAAGGATTAAGGATGTTATCAGAGCATTGTTATTCACATATTCTGTTGTTATTATTATTGTTGTTACGTTACTCATTTCGACAAATAAAGCTCTTATATTGTTTTTGTTATCGTTCATTCAGATCGTTTAATAAGTGAGTGCTGAGTTGAGGTGAGGGATAGACTTTTGCATACCCGAAAGGCATTTGTTTTAATGGTGATGTGATCTCTTTGCATATTTCATACGCTGAGTGAATCATCGTTAGTGACAATCACACCGAAAAATATTTCAATTTCATGAGATATTGTTTCATTTTGAAATCACAATGTGTTAACTAGATTAAGCCATGAGCACCGCATAGACATGGTCACCTGTTCCCTAAGACTTTGTCAGCCCGACAGTTCCTCAGCATGCTGCAGGATTGAAGTAAACCCAAACTTTATAAAATTCATTCTTATTGAGATTTCATCCTTACTACTCTCACTTACTCAATTCCACCGGTTAACACTGCTTTCAATCTTATCAGCCGTCATACTTCCATACAGACAATGACTTCTGCTTTCTGAATAATATGTATTTTCCAAGCTGAGAGTCTCGATCTGGAGTCATATTGTCACGATATAGGAAGCGTATAACCGCAATCAACTGGCGATTTTTCTTACAAGCATCCTGCCGTCTGTCACTTAAGACGTTCGAAGATATTTGTCTGAAATGAAAATTGTCATACGAGAGGTTTTGATTAGTTATGTATATTTGATTGAACCGTTTGAGTGTTAAATCATTATTCAGTAGTGATGTGTGAACGTACCCCGTACATTACAGTGATAAGTGAGTTAGAAGGTGAACCTGGTCTAACACTGAGGGTCGACTGATCCTTTGAAGTGATGCAATGATTGGTGTTTGAGGTGTCATTTTCTTGCGTAAAGTTTGTGGAGGATTGTTTAGGGAATGCGCAATTATTTAGGAGTTTGCTGCTAGTGGGGATTTGTACTGAGTTGTGTTGCGATAAGGACGTGATTGATTTAGGCGACGAGAAGCGATGAGTATTGTATGGAGGAGGATACGACGTTCGAATAAGAAATCTGCGAAGTACCGATTCACGATTACACCTCAAGAATTGCTGATTGTTTGTGCAAATAGTGAACAATGGAAACCTAACCGCATTCTTGTAGCTTGTTTGCACAGGTTTTTTTGTTTTTAAACATATTTTGCGGTGTACTGTTGGATCTTTCGACAAGGAATTCAACATTTCAGAATAGATATTCAAATTTTCAGCAGGAGATTGAACTTGTCAAGAACAGGCAGTGATATTCCCTGCGAAAGATATCCGAGTGCACGTATTAATTTGTGCGTTTGGGAACCTGTTAAAGAATATTTCATCGATGTGTCTCTTAAAATTGAAAGGTCAATATTTCAGACGACGTCGAGTGGAAGGTAGATCGCGTCAGTGGGAAGGAAGTTTTGCAGATGCGTGCCGTGGTCTGATCGTGTGGCCAGTACAAACACCAGATCCGTTGCTCGTCGAAACAACACTGTACGGTGACAACACCACTCGCGAGTACGACGATAAGGAATGGACTCTGCTCATCGAAGAGTGCACCACCAAAGGCAAGAAACGCTCCATCGCAGCGGTCAATTTGAATATGCGACTGTTCGTTCAGGTTTATTCTTCTGCATCATTTTTCTTTGAATAAAGTAGGGTGACTTCCTTGTTGATGTTAGCCAATTATTTGAGCTGATGCTCATTAAGTTATTCAGAACCACAGCTATTTAATACCCGTTCAGTTTAATTTCCAGCTGTAAATGCTGAATGGTATGCTGCCAGTATTGAAACATGATCATATTCTAGAATACGCCTGGAACAAGCTCGGAAGTGAAACTGAAAATGCGACCACTGTGGAGCGGTGTAGCACATTGTTCTATCCAGATACTGATCACATCTGCGCTCTTGAATGTAGCTGATAGCATGTGAGTCATATTTATTTATTCGTTAGACCTGTCTCAGAAGTGTTTCTTTCAGTGAATCAGAAGTGAGGAGTGAAACGTCAAGTGTGCGGGGAGATGGTCGTGGCGCGAGTGTGGAACATGAGGTGGATGCTGCGGGTGCGTTTGTTATTATCATTATTATTATTTTCATTATTATCGTAATTGATGTGTAATCGAAACAGATGGCGCAGCGACAATGATTACATCGCAGAAGAGAGAAGAACTATCGAATGATACTGATCAGTGGAATAAAACATCGAAATCGCTGGACGATTCATTGACATCACCATCAGACCAGTCAGCTGATCATATTAAGAAAAATGATGAAGCAAGACGAAAAGTTGATGATAACATTCTGTCTGGAAAACCGTTTGCAGAAGCTGTTAAAGAACAAAGTACTGAACTGGTTGTATTTTGGTTTGATTTGATTTGAAAATTTTTGAATTTCGAGAAAATCTTTCTTGCTTTGTTAGATTTTTAATTTTTCCAAGCAGTTTTTTGAATTTTATTTTTAACTTCGATTTTACTTTTCAATCTCCTTTGTCGTTTTCTCATGTAAAGATTGGAGCTTCTGGTTAGTTTATTTTGTTCATCGTTGATTGCATGTATTTGGTTTGAATTTAGCAGTGCAAATATGATCGAATCAGTTAAGTTTTTGCAAACGATTATTGCAGAATCGAATGCAGCTTCTAACCAACAGCCGTCATCAATAATTTCTGCACAAAACCAAATTCAAAAGAACGAAATAAATAAAAAAACACATCCATTCGTCATATCCGCACAGCAGAGGTTTATTAATTTGATATGTTAAAAACTTGAATGGTTTCTTTGTTTTTGGTTTAGGCTTTGTTTGGTCATGTCGCTTTATGAAAATCGGTTGCAGAAATGAGAACACGCCAATTGCAAATAAAGCAGCAAATCGGCTAGCAACCACTGCCATATCGTATCAAAAGGTTGAACCAGATAAGACTGATGATGTCAAGAAAAGTGTTGATAAAGTCAGCGATAAGTTACAAGTGAAAACAACTGAAAGCCTGAATGGGAATGACATTCTTCCGATTAAAAACGAGAGCAAAGAAGTTTGTGAGTGTCCATCTAGAAAGGTGGATATTCCAGAAGTGATTGAAGGCGAAGATTTGCTATCATGGTGTCAACGGGTGGCACAGGGCTATCATCAGGTCAGGATCACGGATTTCAGGTTAGTGCTGAACATTGTGGAAGACTGCAGCAATTTCTTTTGGATGTTCGGAATTTACAAACTGAAAGTTTTTTGTTAAAATGAATAATTTTCAGTAAAAGTTTTCGAAGTGGTCTCGCACTATGCACAATCATACATCGTTATCATCCGGAGATGATCGGCCCCTTCCAGTCGCTAGATTTCTCGGATTCGCATTCAGGACGACGTGAGAATTGTAGAAAAGCGTTGAATGTCGCGGCACAACTTGGCGTTACTCGGTTAATTTTTGAAATGATGCAGATTTTCAAATGTGCACCGATAATGACGCAACTTTCAGCAAACTAGATGCTGGAATAACAGTGACACTACCGGATCGACATGAAATTCAGCTGTTTCTCACCGATCTCCGTTCCATCTTAGAAGGAGGTGCATCATCGCTGACACGTCAAATGAGCACTAAAGAATCATCAGACCATCGAATCTCAGCACTTTTCAACCTTTCTGAATCTGAAACAAGTGTTAGTTTCTTTTATAATGCTAAAACAGTGGTGATTATTCTAATAATAAGCTGTTAAGGTAATGCGCGAATTAGAAAGTCTTCGAAAACAACGTGAGCAGGAGGACGCCATCGATCTGACGAACATTCCGGTTGCTTTTATTTGATTATGATTGATATAGTGATATAATGATGAGAATAATTTGAGGCAGAAGACCGCACACGCTACGACGCAGTTGCACCAGGAAGTACCTCGATCAAGACGGCATCTTTGGACCGATCGGCTTCAAAACAACGTCGACATTTCGTGAATCCGTTCGATTCGGATTCGGATTCTGATGAAAACAAGTAAGTGATATGCTGTCGTTGCTAGTGTAATTGATGGCAATGGTAATTTGAGATTGCACCAACCAACTACACATAATCGAAACGCGAGTGTAGGTGCAGTGTTAAGTGATAAGCGTTTATCACCGGTTGTGAAGACACGACACGAGGAGTTAATGAAGAAAAGAAGGGAGATATTCAGCGATGACGATCATTCATCCTCGCAGGCAACCGAACAGAGAGCAAAGTGAGAAGTTGTTTTATTGGAAAGAGCGTGTTAGTTTTGCTGTTCGGAAAGTGAAATAAGTTAGTTCAATCCGTAGAAGACTGCAACAAGAGGCTCGACGTTTATTGGAAACAGCGGCTACTGAAGGCACGACAGTATTCATAAGCGAAAGTGCACCGGGAACCACAAATCAATCACCTGCAGTCGGTATGTACAGTTGAGAGTTGTATTGCTTGTTCGCTTTGATGCTTAATGTGAAGTGAATGTTATGATGCTATGTTGTTATTACGTGAACAGCGAACGTTGCTGGAGGGAACACACCATCTACGTCGAACATTGGTCTGAGGAGACGAGCATCGCAAACGTTAGTCGAATCGTTGCAGACAACATCACAAAATGAATTACGATGTCTCGGTTTGCCTTCTTTCTTTTGAACAACTAACCTTCGAGCAGTTATTTGCATGCCATGCTAATTTATCGACCAATGAAAAAGTTTTGTTGTGGGTGGGACGATAGGGAGCTGATCAGAATTTTGCATGGAGTTGAGTTGTTGTGATGTATGCATGAAAGTCGTGGATTGTTGTGTATTGTAGCCGTAACAACCCCGCAAGTCAACATCTACAAATTCAAGAAGATACAACCCTCACCGATATTGCAGCGTAAAAAGTGTACGTTAGTAGATTTATGTGGCTGTTCATTTGATTTGGTTACCTCTTTGTTTTACTGATTGTATTTTCAGATGAAGCGCCACTTATTCCAGCTTTTGAACGTCCAACACAAAGAATTTCGAATAGTCAATCAGATGTGAGTTTGGTTTGAGTTGATTTTGTTTTTAGTGAGTATCTTTTGTTGTTTCTATAGATTCGCAATGAGAGTTGGCCATCAGCATTCGATCGAGTGAAAAGGTACGGTAGTATGCGAGGACAGGAGTTAGCTGATACGGTAGCGAGGATGGCCGGGATTACGGTATGTGTGTTGTTTGTGGTTTGGTCAACTGAGAATCTAATTATGAGATGATATTTGACGTTTGATCAGCTTTTTATTCTCAGATGGCACCGGCTATACAGCAAACATCGAACACTTCTGAAGCAACGCCGACGCGAAAACTTGTTTCTCAGTGGGAGGTTGGTTATTTTTATGTGTTATTGCTATTATTATGATTATGATTGTTTCAGAAAGATTCAGAAAAGATGCAAGAAGAACAAGCGAATTTGTCAGCTCGTCTTGCGCAAGTTTCAGCCGAGGATGAGAAAATCTGTACGCTCATCAAAAGAACAAGTTGGTTTTTGATTAGTGGTTATTGGTTATGTTATGTTCATGCTTTGTCTCGTTTACAGAAGCATCGTCAGAAGAAGAAGAGCGTTTGTTACGTGAACATATGCGTTTGTTGAATGAGAAAGATGCGTTGGTGAGGAGGAGTGAGTATTTCAACGTGTTGGAGCAGTTGAAGGACGTTCAGGATGAGATCGGTAACATCCAGAAGAAACTGAGTTCGGCATCGTCGATTGAGCGTGCGTTGTTGATTGTTGCTGGAGGATTTATTGCTCATTATTGTGCTTGTGCTTGTTACAGAGGAGGACAAAACTGAAGAGGATAAACAGAACATTGATCGTTTGATGAATGATCTGGTGGAATTGGTCAATAGGAAAGATCAACTCTCTCAAAAACTCATTCATCACGAAGCTGAGTGAGTTCATTTTGTGCATTTTGAGATGTTGATGAATTTTGTTTGATGGGATGGATTGATTTTGCAGAGACGAGGAATTTGACGAGCGAGATCGATTAACGCTCGAGGCTGCAGCCAACTTTTCGCGAGGTTTCGAGCAACCAATGTCCGCATCAAAACGTTTATTTACTTGGATAAGGTCGGAAATCAGCAGCTAAACTCTAATAATAACAGCGATGACTTGAACTGTCAGCACGCTAATAACAGCAAACAAGGAATGAATGTTTAATCAAATGCAATATGAGGATTCGCTTTTGTTTACAAGCGAACTCATGTTTAATAAAGTTATTTGTGTTTGATATTCAATTATTCAAATGCATTCCTTTGGGAAAGGAGTATTGCGAAAGGATTTGTTTGTGTTCATTCTCTATTGTTGTGAACGTTTTGGTTCATTTCTCCTTTTGATAGCAAGATCATCTGAGACTACTCCTTGATGTGACTTCTTGTTCTATTGATGATAATGGTTTAATTGTATCTTCCTTCAGTGCTTCGTCATCACTTTTGCACTCTTACGATTAGACCTTTCTCGAAGCCTCTTAAACGGAATTACTCTAGTTATTTAATATTCATAGAATCAGGATATCTGATCAAATCATTTTCAGAATTCTCAGTGGGTTTGTTATGTTGATAATTTCCATTATTTTAATCTTATTTTGGAATGAAGCAGATTTTGCTGTAGAGTTAATCAGGGAAATTTTGTATTCCTTTGTTTATTTTTGTTTTGTTTTGAGGATAGCTCAGCGATTATTATTTACCTGTTTTTTTTTGATAGATCTTTTTCCCTCCACTGATCGTTCCTCTGGTCATAATCTTTTTTCTGTTTATGAAGTGATAAGGTTTTGAGGGAATTAATTGTTCATTCTGAAAGCATTTCATGCCAGCGGTGCTGTTTGTGTCATTTCTATCCTTTGTTTCTCGTTTTGTGCTTCTCTCAAATATGGGTTTATTTCATCTCTTCTTTAATTCATCTCTTCAGCAAATGCAATGATAATAATAATAACAATGTGTCATTGAAATTTCCGAGGTATATTCTCAAAGTAGAATGGAACCTCGGTTTGCGGCCACAGTTCCGTGCGGTAATTTAAGTGGAACTGAGGAAATTGGAGTGCATCCACTATATTTTTGCCTGTTCTAATCCGTTTATTTCTTTGAGTTGCGATTATTTTATGTTGAATTTTAATTGAAATTCTATCGGTGCACTCAAATAGATTAGCAGTTTTCATCAAAAAATAGATTTGGATTTACCTTTCAATTGTTTGTGTGTAGTTTTAATTGCAGTTAAGTTTTCACTTTTATGTTTTGGACTGAAATTGAAGTTTCGATTTTAAATAAGAAAAGAGGAATGGATTTTACTGATAATGAGCCCATAAAAACATATTGCTGCGAGAATGTGGTAATTATGCTGTCAAAGATTTTTGTTATTATTATTGTCACATGACTGTCCATATTATAATTGTTAAAATGACAATGTTGTAAGTACTCATAGCTATTCGGTAATTCTATTGTTTGGTTGCATTGATTTGATGTGATTTTATTTGGATTCCTTTCTTCGTTTTCATTGTAATGATTTCGATTTACTAATGCTGAACTGTAAAAATATTTCTGAAGGCGATATTCAATTATTTGAATAGATATTGACTGATGGGGTTAATTTAGGGTTAGTTTAGAGATTGTTCGATGCATCTTACCAAATTATGTTCAGTCAGTTCGTTTTGTTTTACTCGTTTCATTTTTGGTTTCATTATACCATCCTTTTGGTTGATTATTTCGTTTCATTTCATTCTTTTCGGCGAGATAGAATAATCTTTCACTTTCTCGAAAAGAAATTCAATTTTTTTGGAGCTGTCGTCTTCTTATCCCTTATCTCTCTCTATCTCTAGATTGTCTCAAATTTTATGAAACAAACAGCAAAATATCACATTTCAAATGTAATTCCTTGTGATGTGCATCTGATTTTTGATTGAATTCTTTGAACTAATTAAATTTAATATTGAATTATCAATTCACTGTCGTCGACACTATAATAATAATAAATGTTTTATGCACCTCATTTTTTTCGGTGGTTTCCTTATAAAAGTGTTATATTTTTTCAGAAATATCTGTTAAATTAAATAGAAATTCACAAATATGTGGTGGTTATAAAGGCAGTAATCCTGCACCGGGAAGAGAGATGAGTCGTTTTTGGTGCAGATTGAGAATTGATTTCGAGATGACTTCGTAGCTGGTTGACATATAACCGCCACTCATCAGCATCACGATTGGAATGTGGCATTGCTCGGCGAAGTGGAATACAATCTCGTCGCGTTTCATTATACCCTGAGATGAACGGAGCATGAGAAGGCTTCGAGAAGGGCAACGATCGTATTAACTTTACATTTAAGGTGAGTGAAAGCAGCCCCAACGGATCCCCTTCTAAGCAATCCGTACCCGCGTTATACACTATTATATCGGCTGAGAACTCTCCCAAAGCAGCACTCAGATTCCTGGACAGCTGATGAAGATACTCCGAATCACCCGTGCCACTTCGCAACGGAACCGATCGACTAATCGCATCTAAAGATTATTTAGTATTATTGCTGTTTAATGAGGCGACTGGAATGAGATGGAATTTGGTTAACTTTTAGCGACGAAATCACTTGGGTAGATTTGATAATTGAACATATCGAATATATATACACGGTTGTCACCAGCGAAGTCGTGCTCATATCCATTTCCCTTCAATAAGAAACTCTTGGGATTATCACAAACGATGACATTAACTAAAACAACCTGATGAGCATCTAAGTCGACGATCATAGCTCTTGCAATAAGACGATTCAAGAACAAGAAATTCAACGCCAGTGAAATATCCGCGTATACACAAAAACCCCCACCCCTTGATCGACTAGCATGATGAAATCCCCCACCCAAATTGATGGCCCAGTTCCTCTCGAGCGCGAGACGAGCCGCTAGGATTGAGCCACCTGAAAGTGAGTTGGTTAAAGTGGTGGTGGGGACGACTTGGGTAATAACATAAAATAATAATGATAAAACGAACCAGTGTGGTACCTGAAAGGTCTCAGCAGATAGCGGTCAATAACGAATGAGGGCAAAAAGGCGACGACAGCAACCTCGACGAGACGAGCCACTCTACAAGGACATTTCAGCGCTGCGAGATAACATGAGGTATGCACAACCCTCAGGTCGTGCTCACTCGCTTCAGACGCTTCAACAAACTGATCTTTTGATAACATTCCATCCTCTGCAATTAAGTGACTTATCTATTTATTTATTCTTGCCTGTGTACTTATTGGTTTGTTAAATTGAAATGAGGTATTGTTATGGGTAGCAATTTGATAATTTTGCAAACCGATTAGTTTAGCATGAACTCGTCCCCATTTAGATGAGTCGAATGGATGGAGTTTCTCGATTCCACAAAAAGAGATATTGTAAAGTGGATGATATACTATTGGCCACTGATCGGCGCGAATACCAGTGTATAGCTTCGTTTCGCTGACATATGACAATCTGTCTCTGAATTGTTTGTTTGGATGGAATTCGTTTCTTGAGATGACGCTTTCTTGTGAAATTCGGAGTCGATATTTTGAAGGAACTTCGAACACAGTTTCATATTTCATTGAAAATCCACTGGTTTTGACTAGAAAATTGGATGAAGTATTGGAATATTCAGTGTTAAAGTTGGAAACTAGCTGATTTTCATCGAAAATGGGTTCTGAAAATATAGTTGGTAGCTTGGTGAAGGAGAATGAAGTGAGGTGTCATACTTATGAGTGAATGAAGACGTAGATGGCTCAAGTTTACTCGTTTCTGGATTTTGTTCTTGCGATTCACTTATCGATGAGGACATTTGATGTGGTTATCTGAAGGTTCACTTTGGGAGGTAGTTATTTTGACAATTTTGTTATTGTTAAGAGGATGATGGTGAAGTTATGATATGGCCGTAGTAGTGAAACGATAGCAGTATTATGATTTTATTAATAATGGTAAAGTAAGACGGAGTGGATGGGATAATTTCGTTATTTTTTTTGATTTCACGAGCTTTTTCTGATTTCGTTTCTTTGCGAGTGTTTCTGATCATTTTCAAGTGATTCCAGTGGTATGATTGAGTTCAATCGTGCTTTTAAGATTTTGCGAATTACGTATGTGAATGATTATTTGTTTATTCAACAACAGGTAGGAGTAATTATGATGAGTAAATTTGGAATAATAATCAATGGAAAGAGAAAGTGAGTTGCTGGAATGAAGTTGATATTATAAAATGTTTGGTCGAAGCTTCGTTATGAATTAGTGTTTGGAAATTGGGATGATAAAGCAGCAAAGTATAATGAGGTTAGAAGCAGTCAGGAGATATCCGTAATAAACGATATGAGCCCAGTCCGATATGAGCTTCCGCTTGAACCAAATGTAACAACCCATCGATTTGATTATCACCACTTGTGTTCACGAAGCTAGTTCTCAACAGGATGCGAACAGTTATTATAATCTATGCGCATTTGAACGAACGTGCTATTTGCGACGAGCGATTTAACCGAGAGTGAACACTCCTCAAATGATCTACCCGCGCAACAAGCGCAGCTCTTGATCTGGAATTTGTTAATTTCAGCTGATTCTCGTCTTATTCCTTGATACCGCCTGCCCTCGGTTCTCAGACAGAGATTAATAACGGTCCAAAAGTAACGGATAGGAGGTCAAAAAACGGACAAGTTTACGGGTAATGGACGCTCGAGTTTTCAAGGAAGATCGAAAGTTTTTGCGCTTTTAACTACGGTATTGTTCCTACCATAAACCCTCGTCTTCGCGTGGTATTGAACCCTTGACCTCCCGTTCTCCGAGTCAAGCTGATCTGCCACTGAGCCATTGTGCTCGTTTCGTGAAGAGTGATCAGTAGTATTCAGTCTTGATGTGCGAACATTTGTATGTCATATCCGTCAATGCAGAAGGATTAACCTAGTCACCTCCTCCTTGATTCACCTGATAACTTTGCTCCAGCTAAGTATTAGCTCATTTACACCAAAACTATTACTGTCGTAAAATTTTGATATTAAAGTGTACGAAGTTATTTTTTAATATTTTTCGCGAGTATCTTTCTAAAGTTTCGTTTTGAATTAAAATCGGCAATGATTGAATATTCCAGGTGACTGAATAGATTTTGTGAATCGAAGAGAATGGATGATTTCGAGGAAACTCCCGGCAATAAGCCGTTACGATTACCTAAGAAGGCAGCCAAAGTTAAGAATAAGGTATACCTTTTATCTCTAAGATATTTTGGATGAAATAATATGATTCTAGCACTCAGAGAAGTCTGAGAATCAAGCTTGCAGCTGTGAAATTTTGAAGAACTAAGTTTGTTGCTGTACGATCATACTATCAGTCTGTAATTTTGCTGTGTTGTTTTCAAGTATGGTTTGGATTTTTCGTATTAGCTGTATTTATGTTTCGATTCATGCAAATGGTAATATAACCAATCGTAATTTTGTTGTGAGCTGCTTCATTATTGCTGTTGTTTTGATTACTCAAGGATTGCGACTACTCAACTGAGTGATATTTCAGGCGCCCGCAGCTCTGCAAATAACTGCTGAACAGCTGGTTCGTGAGGCAAAAGAGCGAGATTTGGAAATTGTCGCTCCCCCGCCGAAAACGAAAATTTCCGATCCTGAAGAACTTGCAGAGTACCAACGGAAACGTCGGTTTGTTCTTGCCTTTGTTCATATTATTGGACATTTTCCGGTTTAGAAAGTGAAAGGTCACATTTTGCAGAAAGGAGTTCGAAGATAACATTCGTAAAAATCGGAATCAAATCGCAAATTGGGTGAAGTATGCGAAGTGGGAAGAGAATATCGGCGAGATGCAGCGTGCACGATCGGTTTTTGAACGTGCGCTGGATGTGGATCACAGATCAATCACCCTCTGGTTACAGTACGCTGAGATGGAGATGAGGTTTGGGTTATTGTCATGTTACGATTATTATTATTGTTGTTGTTATTATTATTATTGAGATATTTTTATATATTTGAAGAAATAAACAAGTGAACCATGCACGAAACATATGGGATCGTGCTGTCACAATCTTACCACGAGCCACTCAATTCTGGTTGAAATATTCGTATATGGAGGAACTGATTGGGAATATACCTGGTGCAAGACAGGTGAGTTTGAGGAGATTATATTGTTTGTGAATGATGATTATCGTATTTGTTGAGGTATTCGAGCGTTGGATGGAATGGGAACCACCAGAGCAAGCATGGCAGACGTATATAAATTTTGAGTTACGATATAAAGAAACTGATCGTGCGAGGGCAGTTTGGCAGAAATTTTTGCATGTTCACGGTCATGAGGTGAAGTTGTGGATCAAATACGCCAAGTTCGAGGAGAGGCATGGTTATTTCGAGAATGCGAGAGCGGTGAGTGGTTATCTTTATCATCATTGAATTCTTATTATTTGTTGGGTTTAAAGCAACCATGATTCTAGGTTTATGAGAGGGGAGTGGAGTATTTCGGCGAGGATAACATGGACGAATGGTTACTGATCTCATTTGCTCAATTCGAAGAACGTCAAAAAGAGCACGAAAGGGCGAGAGTGATCTATCGATATGGATTGGATCATCTGCCTGCCGAGAAAACGGCAGAAATCTTTAAATTCTATACGATTCACGAGAAGAAATATGGGGAGAGGACAGATATAGAGAATGTGATCGTGAGTAAACGCAGACATCAGTACGAAAAGGTATTGGGCTTATTTCATTCAATTTTGTCAATAGTTAAAAATTTGATTTATTGTTTTAAGCAAATCGCGGAAAACGCTTATAACTTTGATGCTTGGTTCGATTACATTCGTTTGTTGCAAACTGAAAAAACCGATCGTGAAGAAATGGAAGATGTGTTCGAGAGAGCCATTGCGAATGTACCACCGCAAGCCGAAAAAAGGTCAATTTATTTTTTGGTTGTGTAGTAAAAAACGAGGAAGATTAGAAGAGATTTGGATTAATTTATTGGAGAAGTGATTGAGTGTGATTAATTCAGATATTGGCGTCGTTACATCTATTTATGGATCAATTATGTGTTGTACGAAGAGTTGGAGATGGAGGATGAGGAAAGGACACGATCCATCTATAAGACTTGTCTTCGGATTATACCTCACAGCAAATTCACTTTCTCGAAGATTTGGATTATGTTCGCGCAGTTTGAAATTAGACAACTACAACTGCAGAGCGCACGCAAAATTTTGGTTTGTTCGTGCAGGAATAATTAATCAACAATTGATTCATAATGATATTTGAAGGGCCAAGCGATTGGGATTTGTCCTCGCGAGAAATTATTCCGATCGTATATCGATATGGAACTGCAGCTGAGGGAATTTGATCGTTGTCGCATATTATATGGCAAATTTTTGGAATATTCGCCGGAGAATACGAGTACATGGATTAAATTCGCGGAATTGGAGACGTTATTGGGAGATGTGGACCGAGCAAGGGCCATTTTCGGATTAGCAGTGCAGCAGTCAGCATTGGATATGCCTGAGGTGAGTGGATTGGAGTTTTGATTTGACATTTCGAATTGTGTTTCTGAACATTTGGTTTTATTGAACAGGTTCTCTGGAAGGCGTATATCGATTTTGAAATTAATCAAGAGGAATATGACAGAGCACGACAGTTGTACGAAAATTTGTTGGAGAGAACGACGCATATCAAGGTTTTCATTTTTTTTTCGCTTTCTCCAGTTTACAACTTCAAACCTGAAATGTTTTTATTTCCTTCTTGACTGTTCAGATTTGATTTCAGAAAATTGTTTTGATTTGAGGTTTGGATAAGTATGGCAGAATTTGAATTGCACAGAGGTGACGTTGATGCAGCTAGACGAATTTATGGACGGGCGAATCAGGCGTTAAGGAACGGCGAGAAGGAAGAGAGAGTGATGTTGTTGGAGGCTTGGATGGCATTCGAACAAGAGCATGGTGATGGAAAGAGCGCGGAAAAAGTAACGAAATTAATGCCGAAAAAGGTGAAGAAACGACGTCAAATGCAGACCGAGGATGGTGTGGATGCCGGATGGGAGGAGTATTACGATTACATATTTCCGGATGATCAGGGTGAGGGTACTTTATAGGATGATGAGCAGAGTGCTTAATAATTGTTCATTTTGTTTATTTTTGCAGCATCGAAAGGAAGTTTCAAATTGTTGGAAGCAGCGAGACGATGGAAGGAAAAAATGGCTGCGACAGAGGCGGTACCGTTGGATAGAGATGAAGCAGCACGAGGCGGTGGTTTGGGGTTGAGCTCGGAGGAGAGCACGATCTCAGACCAGGTTAATGTACCTGGAGGAAAGGGTAAATTTGGGGCGGGGGATGGAAAAATTCGAGAGGGCGATTCAGATACGGATTTGAGTAGCAGTACGAGTAGTAGTGATACATCATCAGATTCGTCTGGAAGTGACTCGGATTCGGATGATTCATCCGGAACATCTTCCGACTTGGGTTCAGGTCAAAAGAATGAATCCAAATCCAGCTCTGAACCTTCGGGAGGCAAAAAACGTTGAACAATGTGTTGTATGTAAGTGATTGTAATGTTCGTCAGTGTCAGAGTGTTCCTATCATTGTTGAATTTCAATTTGTTATTTTTTATTCCCATTGTACAGTATTTTATTGTTTTGTTTGCTTCATCGTTTCGTTCATATACAACATTGCAGTGGATTATGTTCAAGTTTCATTCACTGTTTGGCAACTGGAGTCATTAACGTCTCAGCTTATTGAGAATAGCTCATTGTTTTGTTATATACGACAATTTGTTGTTCGTATATTGTTATCTTTTTAATGATTTTATTCTGATTGTGAATTTGAGAATCAGTTGAAAAAATTTCCCGTATAAATGATTCTCACATTGCCTGAAGGGTATTGCATTACTCCTGAATTAAAGTGCCGTTGAAATCGGTATTTAAGTATTAGAATATACTTTATTTTATGGGCATAATGTGTATTTTAAGGGTAAGAATATAACACACAATTATGATTAAATAGAGAAGATCAGTGGGTATTTAATAATAATATTTGTTGATGTTGTTTGTACAGATGGGTTAGTTATTCATTTTGGTTTATTTGCATACAGTTTAGTGTGAAGTAGGTCTAGGTATTGCTGTTTAGATAGTGAGGATGAGTTGTTCGGTTCGCTGACGGCTCTTTTATTGTGGTTAGTAAGTTGTTTGAGAGAGATATGATACGATCGATTTTCATAATTGGGTTAGTTGCGGTTGCAAACAATTTAAGGGTGATGAATCCGGATGTGATAAAGCGAGCAGATCCAACGGATGATTACGAACTGCTGCAGAGGGTGGGGTCGGGAACTTACGGCGAGGTGTACAAGGCGAAGCACATCCGGTTACTGATTTGGTTGCATCTGAATCTTGTTTTTTACTTCGGAAAATAGCAGGAGAACTGCTTTGAGAAGAGGAAATTCAATTCGTTTATCAAAGAGAATTAACTTCAGAAGCGGTGAGTTGTCAGCCGTGAAAGTGGTGAAATTGGAGGCAGGTGATAACTTTACGGTGATTCAACAAGAGATAATGATGATGCGCGAATGCAGACATCCGAACATAATCGCATATCACGGCAGTTACTTGAGAAGAGACAGGTTGTGGATTGTGATGGAGTACTGCAGTGGAGGGTCTTTACAAGATATTTATCACAGTCAGTAGTGGTGATTTGTTGCATTTAATAATTTAATCAAGAAAAAGGATGTTGTATGATTCAAGTTAATTTCAGTGACTGGACCGTTGTCAGAGCTGCAAATAGCATTTGTTTGTCGAGAAACATTAAAAGGATTACAGTATTTGCATTCGAAAGGAATGGTGCATAGAGATGTGAAAGGGGCTAATATTTTGTTGACGTATCTGGGGGATGTGAAATTGGGTGAGTTTAGTTGATTGATTTATTGTTCGATTATTTACATGCTGTTTATTACTGTATTACAGCTGATTTTGGTATTGCGGCACAAATAACAGCAACGATCGGGAAACGAAAATCGTTCATTGGAACGCCATACTGGTTGGTTGTTGCAGGTTTTGTTTCGTTTGAGCATTGTACAGCATTGATTTGAGGATGGCGCCCGAGGTGGCGTGTGTGGACCGAAGGGGTGGTTACGGGGTGCAGTGTGATGTGTGGGCAGTGGGTATCACGGCTATCGAATTGGCCGAATTGCAACCTCCGTTATTCGAATTACACCCGATGCAAGTGCTGTATCAAATGACGAAATCGTCTTATAAATCGCCACAGCTGAAAGATAAATTCAAATGGTCTTTTGTTTTGGAATTTTCCTTGAAATCTTATTTTAGTATTTTATTATCATTTTTGTTCGAACATTTAAGTTTTCGCTGGATGGAACGTGAAAAACTGAATTTGGAAGAGATCATTTTTGAAAAGTAAGCAGTACTAATAAGAAATATTTCAGGTCTCCGTTCTTCCACGATTTCGTCAAGCAATGTTTAACAAAAAACCCAAAGAAACGACCAACTCCAGAGAAATTATTGAATGTAAATTATTTGTTTTTGGTTGAGCTTCAGTAAGAACTGTGATAGCGGTATCTTAGTATTATAATGGTAAAATATTATTTCGGTCACGTCATTTGTAATGATAAAATATCCTTTCAGTCACATCACTTCGTACTCGGTGCTCTTTCATCACGCATGACCCGTGATTTGCTGGATAAAGTTAATAATCCTGGCGGAGGATCATCCGCATCACTCTTATCGCAGTTATCGCTACACGATTTGGATGATAACGATGATAACGACGTTGGATTATTAATACGATATTTTGGTTTATTATATTAAGCATGAGCTTTTGCAATCGGTTGTATGTTTCAGACACAGACGGCGTTTGGACCGTCACGAATTGAGAGTCGTTTTCACGCGGATCCAAAAGTGACGCACGACGCAATTCGAGTAAGTGATGAAGCGATGGCTCGGATTTGGAGTGATCCGCCAGCCGAGTCAGCGTCTGCGAGAATGCGGAGGTTATATCACGAGGACAGAACCTTACCGGCCAAACAGCAACCACCCTTACCTGATGTCGTGCAAGCTATGTCTTTGTTAGACGATCGCGATGGGGTTATTAACGTCGATGATAATGATGTGAACGCAAATACTGATCAAACATTAAGAGCGTTCAGCCACTGCGGCGCTGATGGTTAGTGTCAGTATTGTTTATTCCATGTTGAAATAAATATGTATGTGAAGAAAGTTATGGTCAAAATTGAAGGTTCATCAGGATCAGACTATTCCATCCCACAACGTCCACCACGACGAAAACGGTCTCCACTCAGAAGGTCGTCGTCTGCAGACACTTCGTTTGGTACATCCACTTTATCGTCGTCAACTTCAGGTGTCAAGCACCGGGCGAATGGCCTCGCCAACTCAGCCCTACCTCGACCAGCCACCTGTTTTGGGTTACCACCGACCCCAAAGGTGGTTTATTTGTTGTTGTTGTTGTTGTTGTTATATTGTTAACTGATCAATTCAGGTGGCGATGGGTGCGTGCTTTTCGTTGATCTTCCATGACTGCCCATTGCATATCAACTGCACGGCATCGTGGATGCACCCGACCACCTTACGACACCTGCTGATGATCGGCTCCGAAGAGGGTATCTTCGCGTTAGATTTGAGTGAGTTGCACGACGCAGCCATGTGTCTCATCCATAAACGTCGATGCGCATGGCTGCACGTCCACAAAAACGTTTTGATGGCTATTCAGGGTGGGTTCTTATCCTTTGGTGAAGGACACTTCATCTTTTAGTCGGCACACCTTTATTGCGATTGAATGTTAAGGTAAAACACCGTATTTGTATCGACACGATTTGGTTGCGTTAACACAACGCAATTTCACACAACGAATCGCCAAACCAATGAATAAAATACCCGAAAAATACATCCCGAAGAAACTGGCTATTACTGTACGAATTCCTGAGACAAAGTTAGTTTCTAATTCATTCGTATTCAGAATGAACTGAAAAGTAATTAATTATACTGGAAGTGTTGCAGAGATGTTATGCAGTGCAATGTGGCACGGAACGGTGTGAATGGAGATATATATTTGTGCTGTGCGACGCCGTCGCAAGTGATTCTCTTTCAGTGGTATCAGCCACTCTCAAAATTCTTGATCTTGAAAAATGTCTATTATCGTGTTCCATATTTTCCAATTTTTCCATTCCAGTTGATTTATTCTGTGGGAACTGATGCCGATTTTCCGAAGGTAGTTTATATTCCATCATTCAGTTTGCCTCATTTCAAAAGAATAATGTTGAAAGGGATTTGATGAATAATAATTGCTGTTTTAGGTGTGTTTAGCAGTGTACAAAGGAACAGCACACAAATATTATTTACATTTGATAAATTTCAACGATGAAACGATACAGTGTGAATTGGATGAACAGCAGAGGGCTGATGCACTGCGGCTGGATGTGGTTGCGTTGAAGCAGATTGATAGGGTTGGTTCGATTGATAGTTGTAGCAGAAATAATGGTTAGTATAATTGAAGGATGCGTTGGTGTTGTGTTACGATAACGAGTGTGTGGTGGTGAATCAACATGGCATCGTGAAGTCATCACGTGTCACTTCAGCACATTTCAGATTTAATTTCAGAATTGAATATCTGGTCACTCTTTCAGATTCGATTCTGGCATTTCATTCGCATGGTGTGCAGGTAAATGGTTGTTGTTTTGGGTTGTTGATAGCTTATGAATTAACTTTCATGTTGTTGTAGGGTCGTGCGTATGTGCATGATACGATAACACAAGATCTGAATGATTCAAATAACATTTACCAAGTGGTTGGGAGTGATAAGTAAGTGTTTTGATTCATTTCATTTGAATCACAAATGTTTATCGCTTGTGACGGTGAATTAGCTAGTAATTTGCAGATTGGTTGTATTGAAACGACGCCTCACGAGTGCGGTGAGTGAATGCTGTGATTTGTGTATTCTGACGGGACATGAGAGTACTTTAGCTGGTTAGAATTGAAGGAATGGTAAGAGTAATGAGGATTGGTTACAAGCTGCAGTTTCTATCGCACTGGGAACTAGAAATTGAATTTGTCTATCTGTTTAATGCTCATTGAAAGCATTTGATATCATATCCGTTACGCAATTTGGTATTTGTTATGATTGTTCCAATGTAATCATCGTTATTTGTTTTGTGGATTTGGTTTATATTATTGTTGTTTTTTGTGGTTATTAACATTTGCCATTAAATTTTACCATTTAGCCAACTAGAGTACTGCTCGATTGTTCTTTATTTTTCATTTTTATTTTTGCTATCCAATGTTCTCATATGATTTAATGATCTTATCATCTCATCGAGTTGATTCATTTTCAATGATTTGTTCTGAATATTCCATAAATGATTGTTACTGATCGATTAAAGGAATTATTAGTTGACATGTGAGCGTTCGAAATGAAATAGCAGTTGACTGAACTGCACACATTATCTTTTGAATTATTAAATGAATGCGATTCGGATTTAATTTGTAAAATAAATTCGATTGCATTTGAAAAGGTGCAAGATATCCACGAAACAATCGGTGCCTTTAAAGCTGATATAATCTTTATTGCAGATTATTACTATGAACAGTATCTGATATGGTTCAGGTGTTCGTGTTTATTATTTCACTTATTGTTTAGACTCTGTATTGAAGGAGGTATTGTTGCTAAATAGAATCGATATTCACATGTTGAATATTACCAATGAATCTGCTACATATTCAGCAATAACAACGAGCACCGATTTTGCTGACTTTTAGTTCGTTTTTTTTAGTCAATTTCTTTATTCTTTGATATAAACTTGATTATTTATACTGGAATTTGCAGTGTGATAAATGATGGTGAGCATAATGAAGTAAGTGGCAGTAGGATGTATCTGGATGCTCTTAAGGAGTACTGGTTATTCAGATTTTTGTTTATGTTATTTGGGTATGGAACTGTGATAGTACCAATGTTTTTGGTAATTGCAATTGTTAGACGCAAATATAAAGGTTGGTTAATATTAATCTCTATTATTATCATTGTTATTATTGCTATCATTATTATTAATGGATGAAGGGATGAATTTCAGCGAATGAACTGGAATCGCCAACATTGTGGAATAAATGGTTGATAAGTTTTGCGATTGGTAATCGGGAATATGATCTGATCACATTTGGAAATACGAAGAGATCAAATTCAGTTCTTCAGTCGAAAAGAAATCGTTTCTTTGACGATTCTGTTCGACTGTTTATCTATTTCATTTCATTGCAAATCACACTGATCACGATGGGCTTCTTTCAAGAGGGAATTATGACAAAGGTTATTTCATTATTGGAGTGTCGTTATGTGGTCATAATGAGTTATTTCAGGGCTATACACTGCGATCCTCTTCCAGTCAAGTGCATAAATTCTCTGATACTCAGTTCTTGGTGTTTCTGAATCGAATCTCTGCATTGATTCTGAGTGCTTCTTACTTGTTGTTCCATAGGAAAAGGTAATTGTCCTTGTTTGAAATATCCGTGATGTTTACAGTGTATCGTTCAGAGAGCCAGTTCATGTTCCACCGTTATACAAGCATTCTTTTACATCCATCTCGAACACACTCTCTTCGTGGTGTCAGTACGAGGCGTTGAAGTACGTCTCATTCCCGACTCAGGTTATTTTTATTTATTTATCATTGTATTCTTATGAGTGAGATTCAGACGGTTTGCAAGGCCTCGAAAATACTGCCAACAATGTTACTCGGCTTTTTGGTTCGAGGTGAACGTTATTCGAAGGCCGCGTGCGTGTCTGCGGTATTTATTTCACTTGGTGCATCACTCTTCTTTTTATCCAATCAAACGCACACGTCTAAACACACAGAAGGTTCTTTCATTTTCCAATTTTTCTTCGATTTTTCAGCAAAAAATGGTGATTCCTCTGTTTTCTCGGCAATTTTTTATAAGTTTTCTTCACGTTTTTTTGACCATTATTTTGTAGATGATAATTTGTTGAGGTTTGCAGATGGTGGGATAAGTGCAGTGTCTGGAATGTGTTTGATGATTGGTTATTTGATGTTTGATGCGTTTACGTTGAATTGGCAGAAACGTTTATTTGACACACAGCCGAGAGTGTCGAAATATCAGGTTGATACACTGTTGCTTTCGCGTTATGAAAACGAATTGCTGTTTTTAGATGATGTTTCTGGTGAATACATTCTCGATGGTGTTGTGTTTGGTGTCTTTGATCGAACAACGCACTCTCTTCTCATCGATTCATTTCGCCGTTTCACATAAGTCATTTGCTCGAGACGCTCTAATGCTTTCGCTTTCTGGAGCCTGTGGTCAGGTGCGATTGCTTTTCATTAGATTATGCTTTTAAGAGAGTAATAAAGAAAGAAATAGTTATTTCAGGTGGTCATTTATATGACGATCGAACGTTTCGGTCCGATAGTGTTCGCGGTAATGATGACTGTTCGACAGATCCTGTCTATAGCGCTATCAGCTGTGGCTTATAGCCATCCGATGTCCGTAAGCGGTGTATTTGGCTTGTTCATTGTGTTTGCGGCCATCTTTTCGAATATTTACCGACAGTATTTCAATTCTGGGTTGAGTGGTGCACAAAGAACAGTTGCAATCTGATAGAAGAGAATGTAATGGGAGCTTTAACCTATTGAACTTCTTTCTGAATTGATTGGTCAGTGAGTATATTCACTGTTGTTGTTATATTCATGTTATTGTTGTTATTACACTGTATTTATATTTTTCGCTCTTTGATGAATACTTCGCATATTGTGTATGTATATAAATATGTGATAATAATTTATCGTCTTTTGCAAGCATTGAATCGATTGTTTCAATTCGAAAGCGATTACTTTCGTATGGGATTTTACGTTTTGTTATTTGATCTTTCAAATTGCGGTTTGAGGACAGAATAGAATTACTATTAGGGCTTGGCGTTTAGTATTAGATTTATATCTCTTTTTTCGTTTTATAAATTTTTTCAAAGACACACCTGAAGACGTTCGTTTATTGTTCGCAGTCAAGTGACTCACTTTCTTAAGGGAGAGAAGAGAATGAAACATTTTTAATGTGATATAAAGGTCACTATCGTTATGAATTATTTTGAGGAAGGTAAACATTTTTGGACAGGATTTATTAATGTGGCATTAGAGAATTGTCATATTTTTCATTAAAACATTAATGAAATTCATTTTTGTGTTTTTTAGTTGGGATCAGTGGAATTGAATTGATCTGAGCGGATGGACTCGCAAGGACGAAAGATCATTGTTGTCGATAATGGTACAGGGGTATGTTGCTTATTCATAATCTTATTATCCCATTCATCGATTGATTTTCAATTTCAGTTCGTTAAGTGTGGCTATGCGGGAACGAATTTTCCATCACACATCTTCCCATCTGTTGTGGGTCGTCCGATAGTGCGATCGTCGCAGCGAATTGGTGATATCGAAGTGAAGGTGACTAGTTATTTATATGATTATTTTGGTAATAAAATGCAAGTGGTTTGAAGGATTTAATGGTTGGCGAAGAGTGCACACAATTACGCCAAATGTTGGACTGTAGTTATCCAATGGAGAATGGTATTGTGAGAAACTGGGACGATATGGCGCACGTTTGGGATTATACTTTCGGACCAGAAAAACTGGATATTGATCCGAAGGTATTGTTGTCTTTTGTTTTGTTGTACACTGATAGACTGTAAACTGTTTCTGCAGGAATGCAAACTACTCCTAACAGAACCTCCTTTGAATCCGAGTGGAAATCGTGAACGATTATTGCAAGTAATGTTCGAGCAATATGGATTTAATTCGTTGTATATTGCTGTTCAGGTTGCTTTTTACCTAGTATTTTTTTCGAAACTTTTTGAGATGACTTTTACTTTTTTGGAATTTCATTCTTTTGCTAATATAGATGATTTATTTGAAGGCAGTCCTGACGCTATATGCACAAGGACTTTTGACTGGTGTGGTGGTTGACAGTGGAGATGGTGTGACTCATATATGCCCAGTTTATGAAGGGTTCGCTCTGAGTCATCTTACAAGAAGATTGGATATAGCTGGCAGAGATATTACCAGATATTTGATTAAGGCTGGTCTTATTTCGGATTGTTAATTGTGGAATAAAGTGATGTGCTTTCAGTTACTTTTACTGCGTGGATATGCATTCAATCATTCAGCAGATTTCGAGACGGTTCGCCTATTGAAGGAGAAGTTATGCTATGTGGCATACGATGTTGAGCAAGAGCAACGTCTTGCACTCGAAACGACCGTGCTTACCGAGCCGTTCACTGTGAGTTGGTGTTGTTTGATGTATATTCATTGTGAGCGTGTGCACTTGCAGTTGCCCGATGGGCGTGTGATACGTGTCGGTGGTGAGCGCTTCGAAGCACCCGAGGTGCTGTTCCAGCCTCATTTGATCAACGTCGAGAAGTGTGGTCTGAGTGAACTCTTGTTCGGTGTTATTCAGTCTGCAGATATTGGTTAGTTTTGTTTGTTTTGTTTCGTTTCTTTCATTGTTCAAACTTGTAGATACGCGTTTGGAATTCTATAAGCATATTGTGCTCTCGGGTGGTACCACAATGTATCCGGGTTTGCCAAGCCGTTTGGAGCGTGAACTCAAACAGTTGTATTTGGATCGTGTTCTAAAAGGCAATGCTGAGTCGTTCCAGGTTTATTTTTGAACCATAACTGTGCGATTTTGAATTCGAGTTTGGGTTAATACTCAGAATTATGGCAATATTATAGTATTTAACCTTCTATTCAGAAATTCAAAATCCGAATCGAAGCACCACCACGCCGCAAGCATATGGTCTTTCTGGGCGGTGCAGTGCTAGCGCATTTGATGAGAGACAGAGACACGGTATGTTTCTTCGTTCATTGGGTAGTTGGTTGATTGTTAATTGTGGATGATTACAGGACTTTTGGATATCGAAACAAGAATACGAGGAATGTGGTATGGTGCAGTGCATGCGGAAATTGGGTGTGAAGTAACAGATTGGTTAATCACTTTTGTAAACTTCGGTTTTTATTTTGTGAGTGATATTGTTTTGGTTGTGTTGTTGATGGATCTTTATTTGAACAATCAATCACCTTTCTGAAGTTTCAATCAGAATTAAAAAGTGTTAATTCGTTTTCGAAGAAATTTATTTGTTTTTCTTGTTCCGTTGTCTTCCAATTTCATTTCTTGTTCCGTTGTCTTTTTGCTTTATCTCTGTGAGTTTTTTTAGTGCATTTTTCCATTTGCAAATGCTATATTTTATTCGATCAGTCTGAACTTTTCGATTTAATTCGACTCATTCTGAAAAAATTGATTGTTGCGAGCGAGTTTTTCGGGAAAGATTTATCGAGTCGTCTATGTATTGTATTCCCGAAGAGATTTTGCATTTGTGAACATTCCCTCTCAGCGGGGAGATTCGACTTCCTGGATTACGCCCATCCCTCGTGGAGGTTCCATTTGATCCTGTCGAGAGACGTTCGGACAGAATTCAACGCTTATCCGAATAGTCGTTTTCATTATCTATCTTGACATTAAATTTCAAGCGTTACTCCTTTGTCTGTTGGAATAGGATCATGCTTCGAGATGGGAAAGTTCTTTAGTATAATGCTTTGAAAGCTTGTCATTGTGATCACTCGCTTATTTTTGATTGCTGTTTTGTGCAGATTTTGGCATCTGAATTTGGACGTTTACGAACGAAAAGTGGAAATTTCCATTAAATTTTATGCCGGAAATGAAGGAAAGTTTATTCTCAATTGCATTCCGTTTATTATTAGGAGTGGTTTTGTAATGATTGATTAATGAGATCATTTGTGTTGAATGTTATTGAATGATTCGGTGATATTGTAATGATAACAGCAATAAAGTTGAATATAAATTTGATGTTGGTTTACTCGAAATGTTTGGAACATTACTGAATAATATCTGATTGATTACACGTTGATATATTTTTGAATAGCATCTGTCATGATTGAGACTGTGATTATGTGTTGGCTTAGGAATGTTCCTTGTTCGTGAATTGGAAAACTTTGAGGCTCGAATTCTGTGGAAGTTGAAAAGTTTATGCTTTAAGCAAGATGACAACCGCTCACAGACCAACGTTCGATCCGGCTCGTGGTGGTACGGGCCGTAATGAAGGGGATTTGTCAAAGTTATCGCAACAGTACTCGAGTAAAGATATGCCGTCGCATACGAAATTGAAGTATCGACAGAAGGGCCAGGGACATGCTGACGAGCTCAGATCAAAGGTCATTTGTTTGTTTGATCAGTGACAGGGTTGATGAGTGACAGTTTATCATCGCTCAGATGAAACGTATGATCGTTGTTAAGGATTTACGCCGTGAGCTGGAACAGAAAGAACGGGACTCGCGAGATCGTCGAGGAGGCAGAGAGAGTGGATGGAGTGGCGGAGGCGCCAGCTCTTCGGCAAAAAAGGCACGAATTGAAGCTGGAGCAACAACTGCAACTAACGCACAGGATGAGGATGATTCTTACGACGAACTCAATGAGGTGAGGGCATATTTCATGCAGTTGTTTTCGATGTGCACATTTGATTTTTCATCTACAAATTTGTCATTTTTTTCAATCAGTTGGAACTTGTGTGATATGTAAAAGACAATTATGATTACAGTCCTGATACGCGAGTGATTAGCCAATCGCAGTTGCATCCTCGAAATGTCCGGCTTCACGGAAGTGATTAGCAAATTGCAACTTCAGCAGCTAACCACTCTTTTGTGAAAATTTTGAAAATATCAGATGAGCATTTTTTGACAGGATTCTGGTTCTGATGAGGATGATACAGCAGAACTGATGGCGGAACTGGCGAGAATTAAGAAGGAGAGAGCTTTAGAGAAGGCACAAAGAGATGCAGTAATAGCTGAAGAACAGGTTAGATGGTTCGATAATTTTGACTGGCTGGGTGATTTTTGTGAGGAGGAATGGCGGCTTTTCAACTTTTGATATTGTTTTCAGGAACGCATAAGAACCGAAAACATCCTACATGGCAATCCGTTGCTGAATCCTGACTCGGTTGATTTTAAAGTAAGTTTTTGCTGACTTAATTGAAAGGTACTTATAGAGTTTCGTTTCTATTTGTTGCAATCAAGGTGAAAAGACGATGGGACGACGATGTTGTGTTCAAGAATTGTGCAAAAGGATTGGAGGAACGCAAGAAAGAGACCACTTTCATCAATGACGCTATTCGATCAGAATTCCATCGCAAATTCATGGAAAAATATATCAAATAATCTTGTAGCTGTTTTGTTTTCGACCATGATATTTGATTTCGTTTCTCGGGCTGATATGATATTACTCAACTTTTGCTTCTTTATTTCAATTTTGACGAATTTCGTTTAGTTTGTACTGAAATCGAACGAAACTGGGTTTAAAATAGTATCGTGGCGAATGAAAAGCTGTCTCTGTAAGCACGAGATTCTCCGTTTTATGATCATTCATTGAGAGAATTTGTTCATTTTTTCATATTTATTGATCGTGTTTTTGATTGATGTGTGAATGGAATATGATAAAATTGAATGATGTAAAGATTGTTCTATTTTTTGAAGAGAAATCAAATCGGTTTATGAACCATCCTTATTATTTGCATTTGTGTTAGATCTTATCTCATCGCATTGTTTACGATTGGAGTTGTCGTTGATAAGAAATTTAGACAGCATTCGGGTTGTTGATATTTTGTTGGAGAAGGGAAGTTTTTATGGAAAGTAAAACGGAATTTCCTTTTGGAATTTTCGATGAATTATGGTTGGAATCAATTTGATTTTTTATTACAAGTCGCTTCTGCTTTTAAGAGGAAAAAATATGCGTTTGGTGGTTATGGTTTGTGTTATTTTGGGAGTGAAATCGTTTGGACTTTGATGGAATTTGCATTTGCCGTGCCCTGATAGTGAGCGTTTTGTCGCACTTTGATTCTTTTCATTGGTGAAGATAATGTGAAAGTTATGTTAGATTCTCACATAACTACGCTTGAAAACGCACAGCACTGTGTTTACTTTGCTTTTATGAATCGTTTGCGTTTGTGATTGGTTACTGAATTGATGTTTCTATTGTATTAAAATTGATAAAGGATGATCATTTGATTTGATTTTGTTAATAAAATTATTATTTAAAGGTTTCTGCTTCAATCATTAATCGACTTGGTAATTGAATTATGAGGGAACGCAAGAAGATTATCGTATTTCTGATTACGTTCGCAAGGTTTTATTCATTTGATTATTCAAATTCAGTTGGATTGATTGAGTTTGACAGGAATTTGATTCGCATAGAATAAAATTTTGTCACTGCGATAAAAGGAAGAGCTTTATGCAATTAAGAAGAGAACTGATTTTGGGATGAACCTTCAGTTATGCTTTGTATCATGCGAGCAGAAAAACGTTAAGTGGAGTGAAAGCATCAATAACAAATGATTGGACAAGGAACACGACTGTTGTTAGTTTATTTTTATTTATTGTTTTGAAGATGGAGATGACACAGAGGGATTCATTTCAGGATGGGGCATTTATTCCATCGGTGAGTGGAGCAGAAACCTTTTTGGGTCTATTGGATGCGCTTTTTATGGCTGCATACGCCATTGTGAGTGTTTTTGTCTATAATTATTATAACTGGATTAATCAAGTCATTGTTAATTTTCAGTCATTGTTTTATTGGGGATGGTTAGGTGACCGATTAAATCCACGAAATGTGATCGTTTTTGGTATGGTTGCTTCTGCGCTGGCGGTGAGTTAGTTTATCTTCATCTGTATTCATTTGAGTCTTGTTATATTTCAGTTAGTATTATTTGGATCGGTACCCAAATGGTTTAATTTTTATTCGATGCCGTATTATGTTTTGACTTATATTATTTTTGGTTCATTGCAAGCGTGTGGATGGCCGAACGAAGTTGCGATAATGGTTGGTGATTTGAGAATTATTGTCGTGTTGTTATTGGCTATTGACTATTGACCTCATTATTGATGCTGCAGGGTAACTGGTTCGATAATTCGAACCGTGGCTTTATAATGGGTCTTTGGGCTGCGTGTCAGCCAGTTGGAAATATTTTAGGAGCTATTTTAATCACACTGATACTTCCGTCAGGTTATGAGGTAAGTAAATATTCTTATTTCATTTCTTTATTAGTTTCATTTGGTGAATTACTTCTTTTTATAATCAATTTCAGTATACATTTGCATTTAATTCGTCTTTGATGGTTGTGGGTGCATTGATAGTAGCTTTAACAATAGAAGATAGTCCGCGACGAGACGGTTTATCATATCAACCAATCGATCAAGAGAGCGATAGACAGACATTACCGTCACACACTGCAGATCAGGAAGGTGATACTGGTGGTATTAATGGAGAAGAAAGTGCGCCAATTGGGATTATTGAAGCGTTGTTGTTACCGAATGTTATTCCGGTTGGTTTTGATTTTGATTAAAGATTTGCAGCTGGAATCGCTGGTTTGATCTTATCTGAAGGGAGTTTTTTTTGGTTCATCTTGTGATCAATCGTTAGTTGTTGTTCAGTTTGGGTTTATTACTGGCGGTGATATTTCATTTTGATATTATTGCAAAAATGATAAATATTTTCAGTACTGTTTGTGCAATACGTGTTTGAAGTTCGTGAATTATGCATTCTTCTTTTGGTTACCGTTTTATCTGACTGAAAAGTATAAATGGAGTGAGAGGGAAGCAAATGCTTTGTCGATCTGGTACGATGTTGGTGGGTTTGCGGGTTCGGTGCTTGGCGGGATTGTATCGGTTACTGATTACCCTGTTTATTTACATTTGATTTCAGTTTTCATTCAAGTGTGATTTAAAAAGTAAAGCTTTATAATTTTGCTCACGTTCCGTGCAGAATAGTTCAAGAAGTCTTCCATTTATAGAATAATATAGTTTTAACTTCGGCTTTCTATTGGATTGTACCGTGTATTCATCTGGTTACAATGAGTGTATAACGGGGAGCAGGATTCACTTTGGTGGATGCAGAAGGAATGAAACCACTTGCTCCTCACAAATATCAGTGTTGATAGAACACTCAGGCGGGTATCACCGAATCTATCAGGCGGGTATCACCGAATTTTAGGATCGTCTGGGGTACCGAAGTCCAGTGATAGTGCTGATGTTGTTCGCGTCCCTGATCATCCTATTTCTCTACATTGGTATTGGTGCATGGCCCGTGTTGAATGCAATTGTTATGACTTTTGTTGGTATTACCATCTCTGGTCCGTATAATCTCATTGTTGGAACGATTTGTGTGGACCTCGGAAAACAGCCTGTTTTATCAACAAATGCACAGGTTTGGGTTTATCTGGAGAGGTTTTTATCGTTAATACATGTCATATTTATGTGTTGGGTACTTCTGCTGTTCCGGGGCAGCGATTCACTAATTGCCCTCCATTGTCCCTTGACCTCCCCTTAAATTACTAAAAAATGAGTAATTCCTTCCCTATGTGGATCCCTGATATTATATCCACTTCATGTTTGTTGTTATTACATATTGCTTTTGTTATTATTAACATTTACTGAAGGCTATGGCCACAGTCTCGGGTTTAGTGGATGGTACAGGGTCGATTGGCTCTGCGATCGGGCAGTTTATTGTGCCGATTGTACAAACGAAATACGGATGGAATAACGTGTTCTATTTGTTTATTTTTATGGTATCTCATTGACATCATGCATTTATTGTTGTTACTGATCTTATTTGCTTGTAATGCATTTGTTCTATTCCGGAATCTTTTGAAAGTTAATTTCCTTAAATTATTGTCGAAATTTCAGAATTTGCTTGCAACAGTGTGCTTGCTCGGCCGATTCTATTTGGATATGAATGAAATTCTGGCGAGAATTAGAGGACATGCGGATGAACGAGAACGATTAGTTTCTCACAACCATTCCTCTTAGTCTGTGTTGTTTTATTAATATTATTGCATTTTTGAACTGATATTCATCGGGGTGTGAAAAATGTTTAGGTAGATTTTGATAAAATTCTGTCGTGGATTAAGTTCGATACAATTAGTGACCACGTCTGTAATACATTGAGGGCATGTTACCAATTACAATTGCATTCGGAAAGTGTCGGTCTTCGGAGGAATGATTTTCGGAGTTTATTTGTTGTCTGTTTTATGCACATTCATTTGCGTTGTAAAATTTTTTCTCATCACCTGCACAATCAGAAATAATACGGTGACGTTTATTTTGTCTGTAATCATGTTACTGTAAGTACGGCTATTATTATTGCTGATTATCATTATTATCGTCATTACTTATTATTACTTGTAATTTTAATTATTGTTGTTGATATTGTTTACATCGGGAATATCATTTATTGCACGTGTGCATTTGCTGTGTAACAAAAATGATAATCAAATACATATCTGAATTAATAAATATGTGTTATGTCTACAAAACAAAAACAGGTCTATGCCAGGTCGTGCTGTACGTTTACCAAATAGTATTGTCGTAAAGTAGTTCAGTTCAATTTCCGGTATCTCACAGTGATATGATAGAATTGACATTTTGTTTAATGCATAACTCATCCGGACATGAGCCTCAGCCTGAGCTCGAGCCCAAATGTAATCCGTCAATTTGACTATCATCACTCGCCTTCAAAGGTATTTCCGAACACGATGTTCGCAGCGCGAACGATCATCGGCACTTGTTTACTTTGGGGAAGGGGGGGTCGTACGCGAGCACGCTCGCGTACAACGATACACACACACGCTCGCACACTGTGAGCGACGCTTTCACATGGGCCGAGGTCACGCCTACTGCGCATGGCCTCAGCCCAAGCGTAGTCTCGGCCTAAGCCTACGACTGAAGTCGCTTGCTAGCCCCCCTTGTTACACTGAGGCATCTGAAGCTACGCTTAGATGAGGCTGAGTTCACGCTTAAGCTGAATCCATGCGCAGTAGGCGTGGCATCGGTTGTCATACGCGAGCGTTCTCGCGTGCGACCCCCCCTGAAGTAAACAAGTGCCCGATCATCTGTGCGCACTTGAACGAACGTGCAGGTTGCGATTTTCCAACGAATTAGAATACTCTATTTTCGACGTCGCTAATTACGGACGGACTTATTAAAAGTACTTTTTAACGAGGGATATGGCAGAGTGCAATAGTCTCGAATGGACTTTGTCAGTTGTATTCTGCTTATCATTGATTACCACTGATATTCACGTGTTATGCAGGTGGTGTCATTATTTGGTAAATGAAGAATGATAATAAAAGGAAATGATATCTGCATCGAGCTGTTCAACAACTTCGACAGCATACCAACACAATTACCAGAGTTTCGTTCGATTCTGCAAATTCTTTTGTTCTAGGTAAGTTGTTGTTTATTAATTTACCAACATAAATATCTCATGATTAATCATTGTTTGGACTGGTTCAAATTCTGGTACAAGCTCGAAGCGGCGAGACACTCTGTCATCGTTGTACAGCCAATTTCGACCAGTCGGATTGGTTTAATCTGCGTGTCGACGAAATCGGTGAAGTGTCCGCATTACTTCGTCAAACCATAACAACGTTTGTATTTTCTTCTATAGTTCGCATGCTGTATTCTGACCTTTCGTGATTTTTCGTGATTCGGTTGTGGGATATTTTTGTTTGAGGATTGCAGATATCCACCTCTTACAAGTGATCTCTCGGTTGATTTTCTTTTGTATACAGCCGATGGTGATTTTTTACCTCTGGAAGCATGGTGAGTGGGGATTTTATTCTTTGTCTTAAATATTTATTTATTATTCCATTGAACTAGATTTTGAGTGGTGAATTCTCGAAGTAGGAAGTGCTGATCTGTAGGGCAGAAAAATTAGAAGGATGAAGATGATGGTGATAACGTGAATCTTGATATCAGTTATGAGATTGGAATTTTGAATGCTCTGGAGTGCTACTGATGAATTTGAAATTTGAAGGCATTTATCAATTCGTGAAGAAGCGGAAGGTGATCAGGAGAATCAGGAAGTTCAAGCGCAAGGAGGTGCGGCCCAAGGCGGCCTTGGGATGCGGGGTACAAACGTGCGAACCCAATTGTATCATCAAATGGGAGTACTGCTGAAGTCAGCAATGGCTGTGGCACGAGTAACACCGATGTTTAGGTATTACGTCAGACATCAATCGGCCGACACATTTATCGTTTTTTATAGGGTTCGTCAATTGGTGGTTTTTCGATTCTTGTTTGCTATTCGAGAAAACTTTTTGAAAGCTTGTGGAGCAGTCTGCGATATTCAGTACTAAAGTTGGTTTTGTTCAGGTTTATGAAGGACATCCGGAACTGGACTTGGGTGAGGGTCAGAAGTTGTATAGTATCGGTAAGCTGGAATCGCCATTCGGCACGATCTCACTCGAGCTTGGCTATCGAACGAAGATGCAGATCGAACGATCGTTGAAACATCAGCGTAGCGATATTATGAAGACATCATCAATCAAACGAATCGGTTCATTAAACAATCAATTAGTGATTGGTGAAGGTTGCTTTCTGTAAATCTGATTTTATAATCTGTTGTTATTTAGACAAAATCATTAAGACATAAACTGATTCGATTGTTAAGCAAAAGAATTGGATGAACGAATGATCCAAATACCGTTTTTGCCATCCACATCATGCGTATGCAGTTCACCATCAAGGGAACGATTCAGTGAAGAGAATGATGGAGTATCACAATGTGATGATACTTTCAGCACGTTCAGTGTCAGTCCAGCTAGTCAGGTTAATATTTCATTGAAACATTGTAAGATCTCGCAGCAAGATCAAACTGTTCGAATCAAAGTAGGCAACAGAAATCTCATTTCGGAAACAACAAATTGTTTTGCATCGAAATATCTCATGCATTGTCTGCAGAAAAGTGGCGGTTTCTCTCGAACGGGTTCAACTTCGAGTACATTCAGTTACCGTTTCGACCGGTCTGCATCGTCAACGTCGGATGATGGTTCGATGAAAAATGTTTTTGGTGGTCTGGGTTCGAGTCCTCGGATCAGTGAGACTTTAGCGAGAGGTATACCATCTCAACCAAACAGGGAGGTGAGTAGATCTTATGATTTGTTTTGAGTTTTGAAGAATTAATCTTTTAGAAGCAACCACCTCGAACAAGTTCGCTGCCATTTTTTGCGTTGCTGACAGCGTCAACGTCGAATGTAATCTTCCGAAGTCAGCCCCTCGATAAAGTACCAGAAAATGAAGCAATGGATAATACTATGATAAAGGCAAGTGCTGAAAAGAAAGAGACAGCCACAGCAATGTCGTGTTCGTATCCGTCATCATCATCGCAACAAACAACACCAACCAGTGAAACGTTACGAAGTGCAAGTGATTATCAAAGAAATGCAGTTGATTCATCTCTTTTAGGTGAGTTGATTATCAATTCGTTTTTTGTCCGTTCATATTCATTTTGTATTTGAGATAGCGCAGAAGTTGAAACGATTCGTGCGAGCACAGTCAGTACAGTAATGGCTGCATCTTATAAATATCATGTGGCTGAGGGTGATAGTAATACTGATGACGACGATGACAGCAGTACGCAAGCGGCGACAACAAACGCCGATATATCTTCGGATGATTCGTTTGTTAAGGTAAATTGTTTGTGCGATTCGTTTCTTGTGATTTATTTTGTTGCTTGAGGTACCTTTCGGTAGTTGGCATGACGGGGATGGCTCAGATTTGGGTGATGCGGTACATTTGTTCCGATTGGCTTCACAGCAAACCGCGATCGGATTTGCGATCGACCAACCCGACTCAATCAATTATCAAGTTTGCATTTGAATCGTTTAAATCGTTTCATTTGATAGCATTTATTTCTTGCTGTTTGTCAGTTTCAGTTAGCCAAATTTGAAGCGCAGCAGTCTGTATTCGATCGGTTTTTGGCGGACTTGGTGCGTGTCGAGGAGAGAGAATCAAATAGCTTATGCTTAAGCTATCAACAACCATCCTGTGCATCACCAGCGCGAAATAAGGCCCAATTTTTTTGATTACATATTTCCGTTTTGTGAATGCCTGCATTCTCTGGAATAAGATAGTAATCTCTTGTCAGATAATTCAGTAAATCTCTAATGAGCTCAGTTTTTTAGGATGACGGTTTCTATTCAACATGTAACGGGGTTGCTGAAATTAACGAGATTTGTTCTTAATTTTGAGAGGTGCTTGCCGATGTCACTCAGACTGGTCGTCGGTAACCTTGTGGTTCGGATAGTGATGACATTTTAAGATGGCTCAAACTTGAGCTGATCTCTATTAATGATCTAATACATACAGTTTCTTAATTCATCTGAAGTTAACCCAGCTATTCATCTGAAGTCACAAGTTTGAAATTTCAGCAACCTCAGGTATTTAACAAAGACAGAAATATGTCTAGCAGATTAGATTATCTTATATTCTTGCACATATGGACCGCTTTATTATACCATAAACGAATTTCTGCGAGCACTTAATAATGAGCTTATTTTATCGCTCGTTTTTATGGATATCTGTATCATACAATATTAATATGCGTAATTATCAGCTCGAAAAATGGTGTCAGTCATTCCTTTGTTTAATAATATTTCACTGTATATACATTGATGTATAGTCGTAGTTTCTGTTTTTTGGTCATTCGATATTATTATTGTTATCATTTCAGTTACATTTTGTGATGTATAGTCAATCAGAGTTATCATGTTGTTTAATGGCATTGATTATGATGTTATCGTTTTATATGGATACCTTTGTTTCTTATTGCTGTGTTTATAATCTGATTTATATCGTTATCATTGTTCACTTTTGAATTTATTATCGTTGCAAAATTTGATTTTGCTCAATAGAACTACGAAAATAAATCGGTTTGGATGCATTTTTATTTATGGGCTGATTAATCGAAATGTGAATACTCGAAAATAGCACTTTTATCTGTTGTTTGATGAATGTGAATAACCGAATTTATTTTTATTGTTATTACCGTTGCTCGATTTGGTGTTTTCGAGGGTAGTGGGAACAGGAGGAGAAATGCTTCGTAGAGGAGTGTCGTTGCTGATCGGTGGCCAAGCGAAACGAAGCGTTGGTGCTCGTTGTGTGGGTGACGAGATGGCGGTTAGATACGAAAGTGCTGCTGCGAAGCCTCAACGCAGTCAGTATGTACCACGACGTGCTGTTCTCTACGTGCCTGGAAGTAGTGAAAAAATGTTGAAGAAAGTACCACAGATTGAGGTGATTCCTTGTGGATGATTGAGTTGTTGTTGGAGAATGTGAATAATACTGAATTTCGAGGTGGATTGCTTGGTACTCGAGATGGAGGATGGTGTAGCGATGAGTGCCAAGGAAGAGGCACGCCTGAATATCCGTAAATATCTGGATGAACTGCCCGCGAAGGGAACGCATAAATGCTTAGAATTAGGTGTGAGAGTGAATTCGGTGGCTAGTCAACTCATTTACGAGGATGTTAAAGTGAGTGTTGTAGTCATTTGGGTTTGTTTGAGGCAAATTCACTTGTGATTTGAATTTAGTCATAAATTTTAATTGAAATGAAATTTGAAAGGAGGTGGCAAAATCAGAGAATATGCCCGAGGCGTTCATGATACCGAAAGTGGACTCGATTGAAGACCTGGCTGCGGTGTTTGAAGCATTCAGATCGGCATATGGCGAGAAACGGATCTCGGAATCGGTTTATATTTAGAACTTATTATTGTCATTTTAACACATCATACTGCTTCATTGCAGAATACACGATTAGTGATCTGGATCGAAAGTGCTCGTGCGCTGTTGGATATGCCGCGTATTTTGAACGCGGCTGTGAACTTAAACAAGTCAACGGGATTCTTTAAAGTTGACGGCGTCGTTTTTGGATCGGATGATTTTTGTGCGGATATTGGTAAGTGGTTTCGTTAATACTTATTACTTACGTATTATGAGCTAATGAATTTAGGTGCAACTCGGACTAAGGACGGTCGAGAGAATATTTATGCACGACAGAGATTTGTGACATGCTGTAAAGCATTCGGACTCCAAGCGATCGATTCGGTTTATATCGATATCAAAGATCAACAAGGATTGAAAGCACAATGTGAAGAAGGTTCATTTTTGAGTTATTTTTGAAATTGGATTGATTTCGCTGAAAATGAATCGCGTTGAATAAACTTTTGAAATAATCCCTAAAGATTAAATTTCTAACTTTGAATTTCTGAACGGAATGTTTGAAGTTTGTGAAAATAATTTGATTTGAGGTCGTTTATGGGGATTTGATGGTAAACAGGTGATTCATCCATCACAGATCGACGTTGTTCAGAGTGCCTTCTTACCATCAGTTGAACGAGTGGAGTGGGCTCGTGAACTGATGAAAGAGTTCGTGGAGCATGAGAAGAAAGGGAAGGGCGCATTCAACTTCAGAGGGCATATGATCGACAAACCTCTGCTGCTGCAAGCAATGAACGTCGTCAAAATGCTCGACAGGGTTAATAAAGGACGTCAGCCGTGATTCATGCATCACACTTTGCCGTGATCCCTTTTGAGATGATGCACTGGATTTTATCGAATTAATTCCAGATAAATGAAAGGAAAATTAGAAAGTTTTAACTGGTAAAGTTTTTTGTTTGTGAATTTGTTTAAGATGTGATAGATAGTATAATTTAAGGTGATTTATAATAATGCTGAGCGGTGGAAATTTTGATATTTTTAGTGTGATTTTATAGGGAGGGATATGAGGTGACCGACTGCTCGATGATAATAATAATGAGCATAGTTGTGTAATATCAATGTGGTATAATGATACTGAGGTTGTGCAATTATTGGCGTATGATTCAAATGAATTATTGTTGATTCGATGGTGTTTTATTTGGTTAGAGTGAACATCATCGAGGCAGTTATCTAATTATCATTTTAATGTAAAATGCATTGTTGATTTATTCATCGGGTGTATGTGATGTTTTTGAAATGAGCAGTTGTAAATATAGTGCTAGGGTTCGTTCATGAATGTTTTGTCGAGTGAGCGATTTGATTCAGTCGAGACTCGTTTGTTTTCCTGAGAGTTTTGTGCAGTAAACGAATCACTGCAATCTGATGTGTTTTATTTTTGAAACAAATGACATTTGTGATCGGTTCATTAAAGCATTTTGATGAATATTCTAATATACTGGATTGATTTTCGACGAGTGATTCGTTGGATTGTGAGGGCATTATCAGGGCGATTAGGAGATTTGAAATGCCCTTTAAGGTCCTAAAGATGTTGGAAATATTGCAAAAGACACTTAAACTTCAGGAAACTTCTAGATTTTAAATGCCTCTTAACGTGCTGTAGATCCTAGGACATTAGGAATCTTGCTTGCGATCCTTATGTTATCAGAAATCTTTGTTAGGGCCTTTGGAATCTCGCGAACCTTCCCTGGATTTCATGGAATCACATGAATCCTCAGGGTTTCTGCGGGAACACGACAATTGACCAAGCGACAACTGTCAGCACGATGTTTCGCCACAAGTAGTCGGTCACACAAACTTCGTTTGGCTTCGCTTTTTGAGCAGTGCGAACGCTTAGGCTTACGCTGAGGCTACGCTTACGTTGAACCCAGACGAAGTTTGTGTGACCGACTTTTTGTGGCGAAACATCGTGCTGACAGTTGTCACTTGGTCAATTGTCGTAGACCCGGTTTCTGCATCCATGGCACGTTTTTACTTTGGGGGGTCGCATGCGAGCACGCTCGCACACTATGAACGACGCTTTCACATGGATCGAGGCCACGCCTACTGCGCATGGCCTCAGCCTAAGCCTAAACATGACCTCGCTTGCTGTTTGCCGTTGTGACATCGAGCGATCTGAGGCTACGCTTAGATGAGGTTGAGGTCACACTTAGGCAGAAGCCATGCACAGTAGGCGTGGCATCGGTTGTCACACGCGAGCGTGCCCCCGGGAGTAAAAAGTGCCCTTTTGATGTTTTGACGCAAACTGAGCGAAATTCACCGATATCACCTCTTTCTTGCTTCAAACGACTTGAAATCTACTGAAGAAAAGGCTAGGATTTAAAATCAACATAACTGTGGGCGTGGCTAGTTTCAGACGTGATACTCCCGTTCGCAACGTCACAATACCAATATAGTAAGGCAAAAAACGTGTTGAGAAACAAATAAATTCAAAAAATATTGGGCTGCAACATTTTTGTAAAGATTCGCAGCTCAATATTTCAGTGAAAAATTAATGATCTCAACACGAATCTTTCTACACTGTAATTGACCACAACGTTGCATTTGCAATTTTATAATGTTAGTAATTTTTATTTTCTATTATTATTTTTTGAAATTATGACCTTTATGAAATGATATTACAGTTAATAGAGTATGATTGATGTGTTGATAAATTGCAATGCAATGCTTACTGAGGTAATGCTGGAAAATATAATTTGAACCGTTTACATGTCGTTGAATACAATAAAAATCAAATGTTCGATTTAATATTGCATTTAAAACTTCTCGTGGATTTGCTCTTTTTGCTGTTTTAAATTGTTTTATTGCTCTCCGTATCTGTTCTGTTCAAGCGGATTGATTCTGCAGTGAATTAGGAATTAAAAATTAAAAATACGTATGCGATTTGTTGCGGAATTCTTCATATTTATGTTGGAATACTTACGGGATTTATGCAGTTCATAAGTTGGATGAATTTATGCAGTTCATAAATTTGCCACATTTTATTGCTTACGATGGTTTGAATTTGAAGATTATTTCATACTAATAGTATATAATATAATTAATAGCGATTTGTGTGTGGCGACAGGGACATGAATATGGCTAGTTATGAATTTGTGGGTCTGCTCCGTATTGCTCTTGTACCTTTATTCTGCGTATATCTCTTATACTTTTATTCTGCGTATACAAATTGTTATAGAAGAGTGATGAGCTTGTACGGAGAGGTGCTTGGTTGTACTGATTCGAGTTCTACTGAAATTATTCTATACAAATTCATTGGCTAATTAATAGTATTGAATGTATGCCTTTATTTGCTTGACTTCATAATACATAAGGTGGTTCGTAATTGAAAGAGTTCGTTTAAAGAGCACAGGAATAATAATGCTGATGCAGTTTATTTTTATTTAATTAAACACAACATTTGAAGGGAGATTTTTATTGTCGTTTTCGTTTTGTTAGCACTGAGTGCCGCTTTGAGGTGTACTCTCTTACTTATGTTGTTTTGAATGGATTTTTTAAATATTATTTTCACATCTCCTTCTATGGTAGCACTCTGTTCAAGCATTTATAGTCGCAAGAAGTATTTGGTGAAAGAGGAGTGAGATGTGCAAAATTAGGAAATTAGTGCAGATGAATATGGGTTCGTGATGATATAATGGCGTGAGATGTGACCAGTGTCGGACTTTGTGATGAGGGTGGTGATGAGATGTTGGTAGTTAATTAATATGACGGAATAATATGGAATGTTACTGGAGGAGTATGTTATAAATTCTGGATTGGTAAATCATTGCGTGCAAATAGAAGGGATAGGTTTTGAGTTGGTAAGGAGGAATTGGGTTGAATTATGATAGATTGAGAACAAGAATGAGAGGATTAATGAGGCAGACGAGGACGAGAAGGAAATTGAGAGGTATTGTGCAAAAATGAGGATTATTAAAGAAATTGAGAAGGCACGCTTCGCTTAGTGGTAATAACCGCACGAATTTATGTTACAACTCGATAGTACAGGGTTGGGAGCATTAAGATAAGATAATACCGCTGCATTAGAAGAGATTTAGAGGGATATAGATAGCTGCTGATTTACAGCTCGTGTGCTCTTTTTGTGATGTGATGTAATTAGAAAGAGGAAGAGATATCTCTTGTGTTCGGTGCATTAGGAAGTGAAAGAAAGAAAGAAACACATTTGCATACAACGCTACTATCGAATTGGTTATGGTGCTGGGTTCTGCTGGTCTTATTATATTTTTGTTACTGTTTTATTAATATTCTATGTTTATATTGATTGGTCGATTCATCTGTTAATAAGAGGGGTGATCCATTTGATTGGTGGGATATTACAGTTACTATCAATCGATTTTAGTGCGTTTGTTGCAATGTGATTAATATTGGATTTGATTCGATATTGTTTTTATAGATTGATTAATTAATGCTTCATGTTGAAACGAATCAGTAGAATCGCTATGAGAGTGTCTGTTTGGTTGGCTGTGAATCGAGTGTTATCATACACACTCTCGTCATTTGTTTGTCTGAGAGGTGTTTGCCATCAGCGAAAGCAGATTCCTCTGAAATGTTTATTATCCTCTTTGATCCCATGCAGAGTCTATGGATGGTCTATATCGGTGCTTGCTTTTGTCTGCCTTTAATTGCTCACAGCGGTGTTGTATCTTTTTTCTGGGAGGGAGGGGAGATCGGGGATGGATAATGGTAATAGGCAATGATAATAATATTAACAATAAATGCGATTGAGTATTTGATCAAGATTGATTGATAAACGATCGATTTTGTGGGTAATTGTAGAGGGATGGATGACCTTGCCATTTATTTTGAAGTTGTGGGAGGAGGATAGGGAATTATTGAGAGTTAGATTTGTATTTGATAGTATAATTGATATATCATTGTGATATGGACTGAGAAGTTGGGATTGTCAGGTTGGTGTTAGGATTTAAGATTTATTATTAGTGGCTGATTTGTTTGAAAGGGTAGGTGTGTGAAGGTTATTTGATTTGTTTATTTGAGTTACAAACTATGATTTATTAGGTGCGCATGCAATGTTATCGTTATGGTTAAATAGTTTACTAGATAAAATAGTTGTATTGTCATTTTCAGTGTTATTATTAACGTCAGTTTGATTATGGTACTTGCACTGCAATAAATATCAGTGCCTTTTGATGAAAAGTTGAATGGTTGACTCATGAATGAATGTTGAAATAGCATTGCATCGGATTGTGTTGTTCATTATCTCGTGTCATATTTTTATTCAGTTTTATTATCGTTCCGAAATGTGTGCCTTTTGATGTGAACATGAGTCATTCAGCAGTTGGGCTGATTTCCGATATGATAAACAGATTTGATTGGTTCGGTGAATAATGAATTTGGTTTGGTTTTTTGATTGGTGGCGTTCGGGATAGTGGATGGTTTGATTTTATGTGATTAAACCCGTACTCTAGTATGGTCCGCCTTAGCGTACCCTTTCATTGGAGTAAGTAATGTGATTATGAATGAATAGAACACTTTATTATGATGATCGAGTGCTTCTTCGTTGATTAATCACTTCATTTTGTTGATTAGCCAACAGCAAGGGTGAAAGTAACCTCTAATTGTTGAGGATTATGGAAGAAGATTGCGATTGCGAATAGTCTATAGATTGAATTGGAGTGGGAGGGTGGATCGAGTGTGTCCGAATATATAGTAGTATTCGTCGATCTGTTTGTATAAGATGTACTTTGCATCAGCACTGTCTATGTTCTGTTATATAAGTTATTCAATATCTTTAATATGTTATTATTATGTAAGGGTTTTTTTAATATTTAAATGAGCATTCTCGTTCGACGTAAAATTAGCATCGTGCATTTTGGATAAGGTTTGTGATAGTATATTAGTTGAAGTAGAGGTGTAGCCGGGAACGGGATGTGGATATATCATACGGATGGATATAGAGATGGGTGAGTGTTTGATAGGTTATTTTATAAGGACGGCGATGAGTTAATCAATACGCATAAGCCTTACTAAAAGCTTTTGCTTAGAGAAGGGCAAGTGGGCCCAAGGCCACTTATTGCTGTTCAGAACTTAGGATATGCTTCGATAGCAGTGATAATTTGGTACTGTTTATGATTAATGAGGTGATTCCAAGTGGGTTGAATATCTCAATTGAGATTTAGAGCTGAAGCGAAGTTGTTTTGAGTTTTGCCGATGTTTTCATGTTGGCTATGTTGGGACATAATTTTGCTATGCTTTTGTTAAGGGGTTTACACGTAGGATTGATTTAGATTGCTTGTGTGTGGTATTTATTGATTGACATATAGTTAACGAATGGAATTGCTAGTATAACTAGAGCAGCAATTAGGACTAGATGCTTGAGGAAAAGCTCGTAGGAATTGGTATATTATTCTGAATGGTGCTTGAGTTATATTTATGTGCCTTAAGCATGAGAATCATTATGTCATGTATCTTGCATACACCCATTGATAGAGATGTAGAGATTGATATATCCTTCTAAATTTATTCGATATTTTTTGCAATAGTAAATTATTGCAGCCAGAAAGGGAGTGATGACGGACTGCCGGCATCCGAGCGTGGGGACCACTGGTATCTATCTATTTATATGGGTTATCGATTTGTTTTGAGAATAATTTTGAAATGATGATATAATTTTCGTAGTGTTATTATTATGGAGATAGAGACAATTGCTAGGATTGGATTGAATTGATGTGATGATATGTGGTGACGTTCTATTGAAGTGAGTATTGTTTATGTTTGTTTGTGTTTATTTCATACGTTGATTCATTTTATTTGATTTCGTTAAAAACTTTTCCGTTCCGTTTATGTGTACATTGATTGCTACGATATATTATAAAAAGGTTTTTTTTGTTGGGATGTCATATCATATTTCATCATCAACCTCCATTTATATTTCAGTATTCATGCATAAATGAGATTGATCATCTTAGTATCATCATTGTTGTTCTTATGATTGATATGGTTATGATTATTTATTTATTAATTGTATTATTTTTATTTATTTAATCAGCAAATCAAACTCATTACGAGTTTATGCTTCTCTGTTATTACCAATATCACTAATATCACATTCTTCCTTCGTTGGCATTCTTCTTTCCGCGCAGGTAACGATAGTAGCGTTTGGAATCATCTGTCTTCATGAAATCCGAACTTGAATTATTGATTTGGCAAGCACAGAGGTTTTGGGCTACTCTCCCATATGCCCATTTATTTATAGGGAGAAGGACTCAGAAGGAGCCCGAAAATACATTCCGATTGATCGATTGAACACTTGTCCAACGATCGTTCAGAGTAGTTGTTTGGAACAGTCATCATTAGTGAATCAGTAATCTTCCGTTATCAGTAATAAACGATTAATGTAACCGAGTAGATCCATTATTTTTATTATCCTAATTATTATTGTTTACTTCGTCTACACGTCATTTCATTTTACTTTTCATATTCCTTTCTTTTTTTAATGTTTTGACAATAATTGGTTTTGTATTATTTAAAAATATCGATATTCAAATCAGCTTTTCGCCAATTCATCGAACGATCGCTATCGATTGATCATTATTTCGCGTCATCTTTTCGTGAAATACTTGATTTCAGTATTCAATATTCAGTTCTCGATTAATCATTTCTTTTTAATTTGAGTATTGATTTGGAGGGAGTGAAGCGGATTTATTATGGTGGTGGGCATAAAATATGGTGTTGTATTGTTTGATGTGCTACAGAATTTCAGTGGAAGGAAGCGTATTGGATAGGGTAATTGAGATTTGCTGAATGGGATGGATTTTATACGTCAAATGTAGATAGATGCATCCATTAAAGGGGTGTGCGTAAGGCTAGCCGAATATTATGCCGTGTGATTCGTTTAGGATTAAAGTGTAGTTTTTGAGCTTTGTTTTTCAATGAAGGGATTCAGATTCAAGATCGCTATTGACTGATTGGTTTGTTGATAACGGAATTGATGTCGTTCAAAGAAATCATAAGGAAATCGATTCTTTTTGTTATATCATTATTATTATGGCAGTAGTGGATCGATGGATGGACCCAGTTGCTGTCACACTCCTTTCCCATCCCTCTTTCTTGATTAGTCTCAGCAGTTGTTGTTAATGTTTTACAAGTGGGCTTGGAATTGAGGTATTTTGATGAATATGCTGAAATTGTTTGAATTGAATTATCGACATTGATATTATTGATTAATTGATTAACATTTGGTTAGTGATGAATGCTTTTGCATTAGATCATGTTAAAAAGTGAAATTCATGTTAAGGATCATTCAGTTAGATCAGTGATACTGTTAAGAGATTAATTTTAATGACAGTTATATGACATCTTTCCTTAATATCACTGAGTGTGGGTAGTACATACGTTTATGCTGTTAGGCTTATAATCACTTTGTTTGGGGAGTGTAGTGTGCATGCATAGTATATCACATGCTCGGTTATCAGAGTGCACACATTTATTATTTCTATTATACTGTTATATATATATATATATATATATATATAATGATACGTATGAC